ATGACACATAAAACTGTATTGCAGTCGCTTTTTAGTTGTAGGATGCTTGGTTGTGGGATTACTCTGTTGAATGTTGAAATGGTAGCTTTCCTGATCACTCTAAAACATGGAAGGTATTGCAAAACATCATAGAAGCAATGAGTTTCAGATACTCTAACCAAAAGTGTCATCTCTTTGGCACAGCACAATATCTCGTGAGTGAAACTTATTGCCAACAATGACCACTGCCACTTCATCAACAGTCGAAGCGTCGAATCATCACTCATGCTCCCCAGCTGGACAGCAGTCAGCACGCATAATGGCTTTAAAACCATCTGACGGCCACTGATCTAATGCGGTTTTAAAGGACGCAATTAAAATATTGTTGCCATAAAAAATGCGTTGAAGGCTTTGTACTATGTTTTAGGATGTTGTCACAGCACCTTATAGCCTCAGCTTGTCGACCACCAATGAAGAATATTTGTAGGAAGCCATGAGGCTGATCGGGTTGTGGGAGTAATAAGCCAATTCTATGTTATATTTGCCCCTGCACAGTGAACGTTGTGGGATAGTCATGTTATACAACTTGGCCAAAAGTACCAAATGAGGTCATTTGGAAGCATGAGTTATATTTCCAAATTTAGTATAAAAACACCTGGATTCTGCTGTTTCTCCAACGACAAGGGTCTTTAGTGGCTCAATTGGCTCAGCAGGTAAAGTAAGCCTTACTTTTCCATTTGAACAACACATCCCTATTAGCTCCCATTTTACTGTATCACAATATCTACATGTTTGGCTCATTCTGCCTATACAAAAAAACTGTGATTGATATAATCAATGAACGGATCTTATCGAAAAACTATACCATTAAATAGGCTCCACATCATACTCATGAAGTCTTATCTCCGTCGTTGTCTTTCCTGTATAATAACAGGAGTTTCCTCTTGTGCTTGTGCAGCTCTTTGTAAAGTCGTTCTGTTACTGTTGGCCACCACCCCAGCCTGATGCTGTTCATCAGACATTTAAGCGGCTCTTTGTGATGCAATTCAACTATTGGTACTCTTCAGGTGTTTCAGCAGTTCTATGTGACGCAGTTCTACTTGTGTTGGCTGGTACTAGAATGTTACGTTCATCAGATGTCTCTGAGGTTCTATGTGAGGTGTGCCTGCAGCTAAAAGCCTAACGTGGCGTTCATTGGGGGTTTCAGATTCTCTATGGGAGGCATGTCTGATCGAATCAGCTAAAAGCCCGGCCTGGTGTTCCTCTGCAGTCTCTGAAGCTCGAGTATGGCTCGTTGCCCTAGCTCTAACTGATTTTTATGACAAATTACTTTACCTAGAAGCCAAGGAGTTGCACAGGCCGGTTATTAAAAAGTTCATTAAACGCCGAATAGTCACCAAGGGTATCGACGATTTGTGGGCTGCAGATTTACTAATAATGAAGCAGTACGCTAGGGAGAACAAGTGGTACAAGTACATTTTAAATGTCATAGATACATTTAGCAAATTCGTTTGGTCCGAACCTTTAAAGAAAAAAGACGGGGCAGAGTTGACAACGGCTTTCGAGAAGATTATAAAAAGAGCAAACAGTGATGGTCATGAAGCACCGAAGCTTTTACATACCGACAAAGGTACAGAGTTTAAAAACAAACCGTTCAACAACATGTTGAGGAGGCATAATATCAAACTATACCATACAGAGAGTGAAGAGAAGTCCGCAATAATTGAAAGATATCATAGGACACTGAATGAGAAACTTAAAGTGAAATTCCATGTCCGACAATCCCACAAGTGGTACGATATACTACAAGAAGTCACAGATGAGTATAACCAACACGATTATCACCACACTATTAAAATGAGACCAGTTGAGGTCAACAAAGATAACGAGGCTGATCTATTAAAAATGTACATTGAGCGCGAACACAAAGTTCGTAAAAACAGCAAGTTCGACCTCGGTGATAGAGTTCGTATCACGACGAAAAAAGACGTGTTTGCGAATAAATATAAACAAAACTGGACTTCGGAGATATTTACAATAGCACGAATTCTAAACACTAGACCGGTTACTTATAGGATCGCCGATCAAAATGGCGAGGAAATTATAGGCGGATTCTATGAAAAAGAACTGCAGAAGACTGCTCTCTGAATTTCTGAGGGTGCCTCGAGTCTTAGTCCAGACATTCAAGTCCAAAGACTGAACCCGCTCTGGGGGGCTATTCAAGTCCAAGGAATGAACAAGCTCTAGAAGGTTATTCAAGGCCAAAGACTGAACCCGCTCTGGGGGGCTATTCAAGTCCAAGGAATAAACCAGCTCTAGAAGGTTATTCGAGTCCAAAAAATGAACCCGCTCTGGGGGGATATCACCCTCACCCTGTTCCACCACTGGACGACCACTAGTTTTCTATTATATGGCTCCGCAATTCCCTTTTGTACATTTAGACTTCTCTATTTTCACCTTATGCTGTAAACAAAATATGCGATTGGAATTTCCATTTGTTTTGATTTGCTGTGTATATTGCATTATTATTTCCTCACCAGCATGGTAACCCATAAGGTCCATGTTAATTTTGTAAAATTTTAAAGTCATTTTTTGTGCTTATTTTTGATTCTATTTTAATTTATGAAGGGATTTTGCACATCTGTTCCTGTTTTGTTGCATGTTATAAAGTTTGTTTCAGCTTTTATTATTCCTTGTTGGATATTTATCCTTATATATAATACGTGAAGGGGATTTCTACAAAACACTACTCCTCCGTTAATAATGGACGGATTATTACAAACGATGAGTCAAAATTAAGTATTTGTTGTGTTGACACCCCCTTTCACCAATTCCTGTAATAAAAGTCCTCGGGCTTTGCCCCACAGGCCATCAAAATCCCAATGTATTTCTTATGAAAAAATGATTTTGTTTACTTAAACAGATGAATAATTTGTATTAATTACGGCTGTTCTTAGTAAACACATGATACACACAAGAGCGTTCGTTTTCAGTTTCGATAACTGGAATGGAGTGATTGAATACATTATCTTTGAGTTTACTCTTTTAAGTCATCGGGAATAATTATGACTGTTATTCGTTTTGAAATAACACCTGTAATACTTTGCAATTGCTCGAATCCGAGCAACAGGTGCACTAGTTTTATTTATTTGTTGAATGTTTGTAATCTGAAAGTATAATACTCATGTTAAATAATTTTAAGGAAGACTCCTTGCATATTTATACTTGTTCTTATTTTTTTAATTTTATTTGTTTTTTTTCAATATTTAAAATGTTTATACTGTAATTATGTTAAATAGTTATAAGCCAAATTTGTTACTAGTAGGAAATATATTTTTGTACATATTTAAAAGTTCACACTGACTCAAGATCAAGATAAAGATGGAAAATACAGTTGGTATTATATGAAACGCTTTTTATAAGGCTTATGCAGTTTTGTATTGTAAATTCATTGTATTATGTGCTGTAGCAAGTAATAAATAAATAATCCATCAGTATGTGTAGATTTTCCCTGCGATGCAAAGGAGCTGAGAAAAAAGGTTTTAAATAAAAATGCTTGCCTATTAATATATAGACTAGAGGTCGTCCAGTGGTCGAAAACTCGACCAAAAATATGCAATGTACAGACTTCACCCCACGCTGTAAATAAAACATGTGATTGGAATTTCTTTAGTTTGTTTTGATTTTCTGTTTATATGTCATTGTTATTTCGGCACCAACATAACAGCCCCTATGGCCCGTGTTAATTTTTTTCAAATTTAAAATTATTTTTTGTGCTTACTTTTGAGCCTATTTTAATTTATAAAGGGATTCTGCACATCTACAGGAAAATATCAAGAGTATGCGTAGATTTTCCCTACGATGCACACGAGATGAGAAAAAAATGTTGAAAGATAAATGCTTGTCTATTAATATATAGATAACTAGCTGTACCCGCGGGCTTTGGCCCATTTTACTTCATAAGTGATCTCGTTCGCATGGCTCAATCACGTCCTGGTTAAAGTTCGTTCGCTACGCTCACTCACCTTTTGGTTGCAAATTAGCTGTTGTCATAAATTAAAAAAAAATAATAGTGCTGCACCCTGTTGGTAATCTTTGTAACTTTAATGCTATTGAACATCATAGAACAGAACCAACTTGTTTAATTGAAACAGCTGTTAAGATTCATTAATTCCATTTAAATATGAGTACTCATAAGGTTAAAATGGGAAACTCCAGAGCCACTGGAGCGGAGCCCGAGAGTCCGATCAGAATAAAAACAACTTAGTTTTCCTATTTAATGCCTAAAGAATCAGTGTACCAAATTTCAGCCTCCTAGGTAAATGGGAAGTAAGAGAATTAGTGATGAGTGAGTGAGTGAGTCAGTCAGTCAGTGAGGGCTTTGCCTTTTATATATACTAGAGGTCGTCCAGTGGTCGAAACTCGACCAAAAATTTGTAATGTACAGACTTCTCTTTTTCACCCCACACTGTAAATAAAACATGTGATTGGAGTTTCTTCAATTTGTTTTGATTTTCTGTTTATATTTCGTTGTTATTTCGTCACCAGCATGGAAACCCATAAAGCTCATGTTAATTTTTTCCAAATTTCAAATTCATTTCTTGTGCTTATTTCTGAGCCTATTTTAATTTTAAAGGGATTCTGCACACCTACAGAAAAATATCTTTCTAACAGTATGCAAAGAATTTTCCTGTGATGCCCACAAGCTGAGAAAAAAGGTTTTAAAGAAACATGCTTGCCTATTAATATATAGATAGATAGATATAGATTAAAACAAGCAAATCTGATCATACTTAAGCTTGAATCATATGGTGATATATTACTTGTAACTGGCTTAAGCTTAAAAAAAGATTAGTAGTTTTTGAGAGATCATTTTTTAATGAAACAAGATCAGTTAAAAATTGCATTCAATACAAGGGACCAAGGTCATTTAATTCAGATGATATAAACACATAAAAGTAGGACTTCCAAAGCCACTAACACTAACCTATCACAGATAAGAATCACAGATAATATCAAACCTTCTTATTAGTCCTGACATTGAACAGCTGATCTCCCTTGACGAGCTTGCCTTGGTAGCAACGCATGTAGGTCAGCTGACCGAAGCGTCCGGCCTCCAGCTTGAAGGCCAGTGACATGAACGGAGCCTTGCCATCACGAGCTGGGTTCATCAGCACCTTTTGTGGTTCTGAACTGAAAATTTGGTCAAATTTTTAAAACTAGTATTTTGAAACCCTTTAAAAAGTGCAATTTATCTTCTTACTTTTAAAAGTAATAACTAAATTTATACAAAAAAAGATTAAGAATTAATTTTTATCCTTAACATAAAAAAAAGTTCACATAACTGTACAATACCCACAAATATGATTTTCTGACAATGTCACTTGTTTCATACTTACTATTCTAACACTTGAAAATAAATCCTTATAGGTTTAAGTTTTTGGTCAGCATAATTGTATTACGAACTGCAACACTGCACCTCACAAATAGTGGGATTTTCAATAATTTGTGGCGCATATTTTAAACTTCAATATTTCAAAAGTGGGCAGAGTATAACATTGCTGTAATGGTAGGACAGTCAGGACATACACCGAGGAGGCAAAGTGGCTCTACTCATTATTACTACAATTTACCAAGAGATGAGGACACTGCCTAGGTAGAACCCGAATTTGAGTGAGAGATGGGAGTAGAAAGTGAGATGCCTTGTTTACCGTTGCTACTGATTAAGACAAGTTGTTTCATTATCCAGGACCATTCATAAAAAGCCCAATGATCAGCTACCATAATTCAAGATAAAATCAAGTGCGCATCTACGGGGTCAGATGGAAGGGTTCTTTATTTTTTGAATAGCCCTTGAATATTGATATCGTTGAGTGACAATAATAAGGTAAGCCAAGCTTATTACTCACTCTTTTGAAGTCTCCTTCAGTGCAAAGTTTTCCACTTCCCCAGGGTTGGGTAAGTATTGCAGTACTCCATCTAGCAGGGGCTGTACTCCCTTGTTCTTGAGTGCGCTACCAACCATCACAGGAGTGAAGTTACGTTTCAGACAAGCCCTCCTCACACCATCCATGATTTCCTTCTCACTAGGCGTTTTCTCAGCTACACCATGTTATCTTTGTTACTTTGAGTGATATGGTTACACAAGCCAATAAAAATCACTCCAACACTCATAATAGAAGCTAAGATATATACAATCCAATGATTAAATTTAAATCTTCTTTGCTTTCTACTAGTGCATCTTATTCCAACACAATGTACATGTGAAAAGTTTTGATCTCTTAAAGAATCTGCATTTCATCTTTCAAATTAAAAAAAAAAGAAGGAAGCACATTTGTAATCCTACTAATATTATAAATGAGAAAGTTTGGATGTATTGATGTATGGATGTATGGATGTATGTTTGTGACAAGTGAACGCGAAAAATACTGGTCGGATTGGGCTGAAATTTGGCATGATGATAGCTCACATTCCCGATTAACATATAGGCATATTCTTATTTCAAAAATCCTTTCGGGCTCCGCCCCAGTGGCTCTGGGGTTTCCCATGTTAACCTTATGAGAAATGGAATTATTGAATCTTAACAGCTGTTTCAATTAAACAAGTTGGTTCTGTTCTATGATGTTCAATAGCATTAAAGTTACAAGGATTACCAACAGGGTGCAGCACTATTATTTCTTTTACATTTATGACAACAGCTAATTTGCAACCAAAAGGTGAGTGAGCGTAGCGAACGAACTTCAACCTGGAGGAGAGTTAGCGTAGCGAACGAGCTAACCTGAAGGCAAGTGAGCGCAGCGAACGAGCTCCAACCTAAAGGTGAGTGAGCGTAGCGAACAAACTTCAACCAGGACGTGATTGAGCCATGCGAACGAGATAATCTTGAAAATTAATAAGTTAAACGGGGCAAAGCCCGCGGGTTACAGCTAATATAGGAAATAATTTACACAAACTTCATGACAAATTATTAGCTTTTGATAGCTCATAGATGTCAGGGTTACGCATGAAAACTATTGTTAGAGGAACTATAAAGATTGTGGTTGTGAACAACGACATGATCATTAACTTATTCCTACTGAACAAGTTTTTCTTTACAATCATATTCTTGTAAAGCGTGGAATTCGATGTCAGCAAGAAACCAATTCTATTACTCCTAACAAAAATTAGTCTTATTTATTCTGTTTATTCATCTCTATCTTAATTTTAATATACAAGAGGAAACACTGTTTGAACAAAAGGTGGAACACTAACTGTTTCATAGCTTTCTCTAAAAAAAAAACATCCTTTAAAATAAAAATGTTATTTTGAATTCTCAAAAAAGTGTGTTAGGTTAAAACATGGAAAAAACATGCACAATTACATAGGAACATCTCGCCAAGTTGATCATCTGCATTGGCCACATGTTCGATCAATTCTTGTCTGTAGTCTTCCGCTTCTGATCTCATGTCTTTGGGGATATCTTCTTCCCTTATGTTTTCACTGCAATCACATTTAAATCAATTGTATAAAATTTATTTAAAATGGAGCGGGAATGTACAGGAAAGAGAATTAAAAACAATACAAGCTGGATAAATTAAATTTCCAAAGGTATTAGAAGTAAAACTATGAGGAACCCATGAGTCAAAGATTGACAAGAGATCTAGAGAGGCTGAAGAGACTGTAGTTAAGACAGTTTAGATAGAGAACAAACAAAGAAAGACGAAGATGTTTTGAAGAAGAAAATGGAGGAGAGAATTTCTATATGGATGGTTGTTGAGAAGACCGAGAGATAAACATAAAATGTGAAAGGAAAAGGTGAGGAGGGATGGGAAAAAGAGAGGAGTGTAATGATAGATAGTGGAGAAAGGGGGCTGTTGAACAGTTGGAAAATATGTACTAAGATGCCTAGTCAACGACCATACCCAGGAATGGCCAGAACCAAAGAGTATATCTAGGAATGTTTTGGAAATCCAAAAACTTAAGTGGTTAGTATTTACTTAGTCTTAAATCTAGCGTATTTCTTACAATTTTAATTTTACACTGAAAATCGTGTAGAGTTAGTAAATAGCATAGGCCTACTAAAAACAATTTTTTTTCAAAACCTTACCTTCAAATTAGCCTACAACATTAGCCTACTTTTATGTTTTATTTTGTAGATTAATGTCATTAGTAAATTTACAACTGACCAAGTACTGGTACAGCAAAAATAAAATTAAACAGCCATGAACTAATTGTATAGTCTCCTTAATTTCCATCACAAGATTGCAGCCTCACTTGAGTTGAGGTTGTGCTGTGCAAGTATATATTTATTTGATCTTTGCTTTCATAGTTTTTTCGTAATGGTTTATGATCTATACAGTGTGTCTTAAGGTATATTAAAATTGCAAAAGAACTTTAAACTGTTTGAAACTTACCCATAACTCCCTTCAAAGTACAAAGCTTTCATTTGGATTAGGTCAATTATTCCTTTAAGATTACTTTCCACTCCGATTGGAATAGACAGGAAAGCAGCATTATGTTTGAGTTTTGACCTGAAACATTTTGGACCAAAAAGTTGAAATTAATATGCTATATATTATTGTCGGGACCACATAAGTTTGCAGTTGGTGGCAGCCAATCACAAGACAAAGCTAGTGCGACGTTGCCACATCGCCGATGACAACGCAAATTAAAATATACGAAGCAATATTTTCAAATCAGCTGGTATTATTAGATTTGGCAACACCGCACCGTTCTCATTGGTTCATTCAAAAGCATATGGTAAATAGGCTCCTCACTCAACTGCAAACTTATGTGGTCCCGACAATAATAATATAGTGGTATGATTAATGAATTACTTAGAACAAAATTTATACCGGTAATATATTCTGCCTAGTGTCTGGTTCCAGTTAACTCTTATTAAACAAAAGATGAAACATTGGTTCCCGCAGTGAAATCCATTACTGTAATCAAGGTTAGTGTTATCTAGGATGTGAAGACAAGCTTATCCGCTTGGTAGGCCAATGATTCAAAAAGAACTTCTGTTTATTACAAATCTCTTAGTCTGAGCCCTTAGTCACTTAACTGATCCGCAACTTGTATCCATTCATACTTTCAGACATTACACCTCCCTAAAAAACCCTCTAACAGAGAAGTTGCATGCTATATGTGCCTACTGCTTTTGTTGGATCGGAAATCAAGAAGTTATTATTGCCCACAAATACTTTTCAAGACATTGCTAATTTTATACTGGACAAGCGATTCCAAATTGATTGGAGAGCAGTCTGCAAAGAAGTTTGCAGTTGCATGGGCTTGAAGATTATTTTTATTTTCAGTGGAAGATTCTGTAAGATAAGTCAAGATAAGTAGGTCTGAGACAGACATGATTTTTTTAGCGTAGCGAGAAAAGCATATTACACTCCTGCTTTTTTTCTCGTACTCCTCCTGAACGGCTGAAGCGATCCGCATGAAATTAGCACAGTCATAGAAACCAACTATGGGAAGGACAATATCAATATTTTAAACTGAAATTGTAATACCATACCAAACCGATTAAAATGGGTCTTCTAGTAAAACTAAAAATTTTATAGACTGCATTATAAACAGACTTTGACTGGTTACACATTTGTATTACCTCAGTTGCTTTAACACTCTTTTAGGATCTGCACCCAATCTGTCAAGTTTGTTGATGAAGGCTATACATGGGACGTTGTAACGTTTCATTTGTCTATTGACTGTGAGCGTCTGACTTTGTACTCCACCAACGGAGCACAGCACCAGAATTGCTCCGTCTAAAACTCGCAGTGCTCGCTCCACTTCAACTGTGAAGTCCACATGACCTGTGCAATCAAATAATATTTTGACTATTGATATTTCTGTTTTTAAATACATATCGCAAATATTAGTTTAGTACTAATTAAAAAATAGTTCAAATAAACTGAATCAAAACAAAATAAAATCTTTTAATGTAATTGACAGATTTTGTTCAGTTACTTTTACTGGAACAATGGGTTTCAAAGTATTGTTACTTCAATCATTGTTACTTTTTAGTAAAGTTTCTTCTAAACAGTACTCAACAGAATTATTACTGGACAGATACAGAACTACAGTAGAACTCCAATAATCCTAACACCAACTATCCGAATCGATGCTTATTCAAATTGCTAACAGAAAGTTAGTTAAGAAAAAACTTAAAACCACAGTAATAGGAATCAATATAATTAAAGAAGGAAGAATTGTACCACAAATCCTGCACATCAAGTGTGGTATTGTAAACAATCGTCTGCCACAACTGTGGCAAAATCTTTTATGTCTTCCTAGGTCAGGTTTGTAGACATAACCTTCATTGACACGGTCAGGGGTCATCCGCGATCGTGGCAAAATCGTGCATATTTTTACCACAAAATCATTGTAGACACAATCTCTAATCGCAATGGTAAAAACTCTGCTCAATTCAGCATATTTTCCATAAAATACCTTAAATGTTGGTAAAAATCTGGTTATCCGAATTTTTTACTATCCGAATGTGGTTCTGGGGCCCTCAATTGATTTGTATTCGATTGGAGTTTAAGTTTAAAGACTTAAAGCCGCTATTAGAAGAAGGGCTATATTCTGCTATATTTTTAAAGGCCAAATACCATTCATTTGTAACAAATGGATCTCTAACTTTTTAAACACGTTCGCTACTGAGCGTCGCATATATGCGACGCCGCAGTCATTGCCACAGACCGAGGTATACATTTGAATCTTACACATAGACCGGCTGTCACTTGGTTAACAGTACACACAGACCACGGGCGAAAACCTGTAAAACAGTGATAATTTACATTGTAATACGCTGCAATGGTGTTTTTAAATGAATTTATTCATGGTTTTTTTGTATTTTTTATAAAATTTTGCAATGTCGCATATTTGCGACGCCCGGTCTGTAACAATGACAATAGTCAAAATTTTTATAATTTTCTTAAAATAGCCCAAACGCCGCATATATGCGACAGTTCATTTTTGTTTTTGTTATCAAAGAAACTCACTTGGACAACTAAAAGTCACTAAGTAAACATCACGGAGGCTCACTAGAAACAAAAGCACGCTCACATTCTTTGAGGTTATACGCGCAACAAGTGGAGAGCAGTGCAGAAAAGTAAACACAGTTTTGCCAACTGTCTTATGACGTCACTAATCATCATATCCACAGACCAAGCGACGCAGATATGCGACAGACATCCCTGCAGACCACTGCAGTGAATTCAGGGCCTTCAAATAGACCGTTGCAAGGATATATGCATTTTAATAACATTAGAACCTCGACGCAAATATGCGACGGCAGTCTATTTTAATGTGACTAGCCGTCGCATACGGTATATGCGACGGCAGTCTGTGGGTAGAAACCGGCCATCGCATATGTGCGTGGCTGGTCCATGTGAATGAAAAATTTCGTACTATTGCAGTAGTGAACGTGTTAAACTGATTAAATATGTTAATGCTTTAATACCGGTACTTGTTTATAGTGTCTAGAAAAATTCCTTACCAGGAGTATCAATTATGTTGATATTGTGATTTTTCCACAACGTATATGTTGCAGCAGATTGGATGGTGATTCCTCTTTGTCTTTCTAGTTCCATTGAGTCCATAACAGCCCCGACCTGATCTTTACCTTTCACCTGAAAAATATAAACACAAACTATTTCAAACAAAAAAGTAGCATCCTAAGCTTAATTAGGGGATTTGAGTTTCCTACATATTCTATAGCACTACTTAAGTCTATTAACTAACTACCAAACATAGCCTATGCATTTGTCTTCAGAACGAGGACACCATATCAAAAGCTGTCAAAATCAGTCTTAACAGGTTCCCTCCCAGCCATCACACTCCTCTGTATCTGTAGTCTACTGAAAAAATATTAATAAAATAAAAACCTTACATATTTTAAAACTAATACTAGAACAAAATACTAATTTGAAAATTAGCCTATAGTAAAATACATTTGTGTAATAAACAATAATTGGATTGAAATAATTTTTGGAATAATTTGATCGCTTTATGGATTTCACTACGTTTATTAGTTCATATCCTAGGATATTACAATTTTCCCACTACATAACTATTGTATTATTACTATTGTATTAAAATGGCAACACAGCGGGGTGTAAGCTGTTTAAAGTCAAGTAGAAAATAAAGACGAAATCTAGGTAATATACCTCGTGCATTTCAGAAATTCTGCCAGTGTAGAAAAGAATTCTCTCTGTCAATGTTGTTTTTCCAGAGTCAATATGAGCTGATATTCCAATATTCCTTATGTATTCAATTGGTTTGTGTTCTGCAAACTTTGATTCTGAAGCCATGAACCTCTGGAAAAGATGAACATAAAATAAATTATAGTCTGTTCATCGTGAGTCTGAAGTAAAGCCTATAGTCCTACAGGCCTATGTTTGATAATAGACAATTAGGGCCTAAGTCTGATATCAAAGTTTCACCCTAGGCAAAAAAGGCTTGAAAATAATGATGAAACGTGGAATAGGCTAACCTCAAATCAAAGCATCCAATGTAAACACCCTAAAGCAATGTAGCCTGATATAATAAATGCAAGCCTATAATAGAAATGAAATCAGAGAGATATTGTATTGGTTAATAACTCAAAATGAACCAATAGAAGGTCATACATTTATTTATATGCCAATAATGACAGAGATAGGCTTAAGGACTAAGTTATGCTAGGCTAAATAAAGTGCCTAGGCATATTTTAGAATACCTTTGATAATACATTGTATCGGATTGTACTTGACGAGCGGAATAAAAGACTTTTCAGTTTAAGCATGTGCACCATTTTTTAAGATTTTTGAAGTCAGCTTAATATGAAACGGATTAAATTATCAAATTTAACCTAAAATGCGACACCTTGGTTGAATGAGGCTAAAGCTAAAAGAAAGGACAATATTGCAGACGAATAATGTCTCGTTTAAGTAAGGTAACCTTTTTAGCATGTAACTGAACTCAGCTGTTGAGGCCTCACTCTTAACCATAGATTAAAAGCATTAAAATAAATTAATTCTTTTTTAATACAAGATGTTTTTGAAACTACTTTGGACCTTTAAATTGTATGTAGGTTATTTGATAAATTATAACTCAATTTAAGTATGTAATTATTTTTTAAGCATGTGGGGAGGGACCCCAAGGCCGCATGTACCATACACAACATGTGCCTGAAGGAATTAAAAATAGCAAGCCTCAATAAGTGAAATTAAAATATTCGAGGGATTGTTATCTTGAAACGAAAATCATTCGATTGAGTTTGTAGACTTGGCTATCTGTTGGTTGTTGTATGTGCTATTAATTAGCAGCTGTGTCTAAGGAAATTGTCGGCCTTCCTTAGTCACTATAACAAGACTACAAGACTTCGACCCATCTACACTCATCTCCATTCATACTTGGCTTAAAATGTCTAAATTCGTTTGGTCGCTATTTCAGAATTAAAGGTATTAAAGTGAACTAACAATAAAATGTTCTTCAGCTGACCCATTAGGATGAGAAATCTATGGTTTTAACAAAGAGGGCATCTGATGTGGTCAATCCACACATACTCAGAATCCATAGGCTGAATGTGAAGCCTATAGGAGCTTTACAAAAACATTTCTGGCAGCAGGGTTAAACGTATTCATTGGTTAAACCAAGGCCGCACACTAACACTAGTGGGCCTTGGTTAAACATGACTAGTGTACCTGTTGCTCAAATTCGACTAATTGCGAAGTATTACAGGCGTTATTTTAAAACAAATAACTGTCATAATTTTCTATTACTTTAAAAGAGTCCACTCAAATATTATGGAAATACTCATGGATGTACATAAAGTTCGATGTAATCCACATTATTGTAAATATGTTATTATATTTTCCAAAATCTAATCTTGTTTTTTAGTATTTTCCACAAATGTTTCCCACTCATAGCCGCATTACGTTGTCCATAATAACGATTATAAATAAAAAAAAAACATTATTTATATTTCTTCTACTTGAGGGTGTTCTATGACTTTCCTGCGTTTCTAAATGGGTTTGCAAATCTTCTCTTTCAATGGTTTGCTCAAATAAATGACAGGACAGTCGGACAGTGTTAATTCAGTTTTCTTTTTAGTATATCAAATTGACCAAGCTTTTTCGATTTTTCTATTGTAATATTTATTCAAATCATGTTGGAAGGAAATTCCACCATGTATTCAAATAGTAAATATTTCATTCTAACCAAGTCAGTAAATGTTTGTATCACACGTTTCCTTAAATTGCAGCTTAAATATTAACCACAATTAAATTATCCAGCTGATCATGATGTAAACAAATATGTTCCTCATAAGGATAACATGGGAACTTTAAAAGCCACTGGGGCAGAGCCCAAGGGCAAGGGACCTATCAAAACTGTAAGCTCAGTTTGCAAATCTACACAGCTTGACGAACATTTTGTTATAATATAATAAATATTATATATTATAATATGTGGGGTCAAATCAAGGCCCCTCAAATCTTGAAAAAAATCTTATTGTTCAAAAGTTTCATGTAACGTATTAATAATATAGATTTTTTAGTTTTGTCTTTGTTGATAAATAAATAAATAAACAACAACTAAACGAAAGTAATGAAAATAAATCAGCACACATTACTTTAACCCTAAATCAGGCTACATGTCCTCCCATTAACAATATTCACCTCCCTCAAGTAACAGAAATAAAATACTTGGACATGCACTTAGATGCAAAGCTTAATTGACCATATATTTACTAATGATCATGAATAACTCAAGAGTGAAGTCATAAAAACCATATTATCAGACCATACTGCTCAAACTATAATGATAAAACAAAATCTCAATGATGATGATAGTAGTATAAAGTTTAGATATGGGAGAAGCTTCAGCGCATCTAATATAGATACCTTCTAATGCTATCTAAAGCGTGAGGATTGGAATGAAATATACGGAGCTGAGAATGCTGAAGAGAAATTTAATGCATTCATTAGCCTCCTGAAACATTACTTCAAAATATCATTCCCAAAAAAGTCCACAAAAATAAAGCCGAAAAACAACATATCAAACATATCAAATTTACAGATGAAATTCTAAAATTAAAGGAGCAATGTCTTTTATTTCATGAAAAAACAAAACACTTACATCCAGATCACTTTATAAAACAATATTACTTAAGGCTTAAATACCAGTATAGGAGAAAAGTAAGAGAGCTTAAGGCAAAGTCGATACTAGAGACAATTGAAAAAGCAGATAATAAAACTAAGGTAGTTTGGAAAGTTATAAATGCAAGTAGGCCTCATCAAAAGAGAGAACCAGAAAGCATTTGCCTCAAGAACAGCAAGGGTGACATACTTTCGAATCCTGAAGAGGTCTGCGAGAGTTTCAAAAAATACTTTGTTGAAGTAGGTAATTCCAACTGCCAAAGACAAACAAATAATGCCCTTGGTCATCTAAGCAGACAAATAATATCTTCGTTTTTCATGAGCCCTGTCACAAATGAGAAAATGAAAAGCATAATAAGTGGACTGAAAACCAAAAAATCAGCTGGAGTTGACGAAATCTCTCCTAAACTGCTCAAATCAATATCGGATATGATTGTAGCACCATTATGTCACACACTCAATAGTTCCTTTGTTGAAGGCCACTTTCCATCCAAACTTAAGCAGACAATTGTTAAGCCAATCCTGATATCTGGGGACAAATTGTGCTGCAAAAATTACAGACCTATTAGTCTCATTTCGACTTTCTCCAAAGTGTTTGAAAAGGCAGTTCTGGAGAGATTGTGGAGTTTCAAGGAAACCTATGAAATAGTGTTTCCAGCCAGCATGGGTTTGTCAGGAACAGATCCACCACTAGTGCCATACTCAGTCTAATAAACAGAGTTGTAAAAGACTTGGATTCTAATCAGTTTGCGGTGGGCATTTTCTTCGACCTCACGAAGGCCTTTGATATGGTTTACCATGGGCTACTTTTAAGTAAAATAAATGAAATTGGGATTAGGGGCACTGCTCTTCACTGGTTCTCCTCATACCTGGAGGGGAGAAGGCAGTCAGTCACGATCCCTGCAGTAGATGCAAAGGGGTGCTTGAAAAATAGTTATTCCTCAGAAGCTTTAGTTAGCAGGGGGTGCCACAGGGTTCCATCCTGGGACCAATCCTCTTCCTCATTTTCATAAACAACCTACCATCTAGTGTGAAGAAGGCAAATATATGCTTATTTGCTGATGACACCTCCCTCACTATCTCCAATCCCAGTATGGAGGTGTTAGAACAAATCTCTTTTTATCGAATCAAACTGTCTTCTTGAATGGTGCGAAGAGAATCATTTATCCCTAAATCCTGAGAAAACCCAACTTCTACAATTTCAAATTTCAAAAAGACGATCCCAGAAAAATCACAGTCTTCTAAATGTCCTGTTGGACGAAACCATAATCTGTCCCTCCCAAAATGTGAAGTTCCTTGGAGTACTCCTTGATGAAAATCTCAGATTTCATCAACATATTGAGCATGTAGTAAAAAGGGTTTCGGTAGGTATTTTCATGCTTCGAATGCTCCGATAAACAGCCAACTCCGATGTTCTCCTGTCTGCATACTACGGGCTCATCTATCCCTATCTGACATACGCCATTCCTGTATGGGGTTGTGAAACCCAAAGAACACTGTTTTTGTTCAGACTCCAGAGGAAGGTGATCCGTATCGTGTTCTCCCTTCCAAAACGTCACTTCTGCAAAGAAATATTCAGATCATTCAGAATCCTTACCTTTCCATCCATCTATATTCTGGAAACGTTGTCATTCGCTAAGAAAAACATATCATCTTTCACCACTCCAGTCAACCACAGATATTCTTTCCGGAACACTTCAAACCTTGCCATTTCCCGTCATTCAAATGTATTTTTCCAGAGGCACTTTCACTACAGTGCTGTGAAACTCTTCAATAACCTCCCTTTCCCATTACAGGCTGAACAGGATGTGGGTAAATTTAGAAGGGAGTTAAAGTCCAACCTGTTAGATAAGGCAGTAATACAGCGTCCGTGAAAACTGGTAGACTTTTACTTGTTGGCACTTGTTGAATTAACTTGAGTTAACTTAATTGAGTGGTTGCTTGTAAGAACTTTAGATGTTTTCACTGTAAGATAATCAATATGTTTTATCAATTAAGATTAATTTGACTTGGCTAATGCATGTATATGTTGATCTGGCCTAATAAATTACTTATTGACTTCTTATGACTTATTGACTTAATTGGAAGGCACAAATCTGGACTAAAAGACAACTTCTAAATTTAAAAACAACTAAACTTAATTGGCTTCTTGGATCTAAATCAAAACTTAGTACACAAAATAATTGTTACTGTACAAAACAGTTCTAAAACCAATTTTGGACTTATGGTATTCAGCTTTGGGGATTAGCAAGTACCTCAAACATTGAAATTATTCAACGTTACCAATCAAAATTATTACGTAAAATTGTCAACGCACCTTGGTTTGTTAGCAACAGAACACTTCATAATGATCTTCAAATTCGAACAGTCAAAGAAGAAATTACAAAATCTAGTGAACAATACATTGTAAAATTGGAAAATCATTCAAATCATCTTGCACTTAATTTATTGGACAATCACGACACCATTTACAGACTGAAGAGACATACGATATTGGACCTTCCATTCAGATTCGGATAAGTGTTAGGTATCAAAATTCTCTTTGTTAGCTTAGTGTTGACAGTGGTCAATCACTAGCTCATGTTCTTCAAGTTAATGTTGTATTATTATTTATATCATTTTGCTTGTTGTTCAACTTGAACGGATTGTAAATTAAATAAAGTAAAAAAAAAAACTCATGGGGCGGGGGCATTGGAATAAAACAAAAATGAGTAACTGGCCCCTATGCTAAAGTAGGGATTGATTTGATTATTATGAGTGTAATGGTGGAAGGAAAAAACATAGTGTATTGTGTAACTGTGACCTGTATATTATTATAATAAACCTCGGTTACGTATGCCTTATCTATATCTATGTTATTACAGATTCTAAAATTCTCTTTTAGCGAATTTCCCTATAGGGAAGTAAAAAAACTGTTATTTTTAAATTCCCATGTTATTCTTAGGGTGAATATTGTAAAAATGTTGTAGTTTGCTTGTTTATGGATATGTTTTAATCAAACTTGGTAAATTTATTTATTTTATACTAAGTTATTAATATTTTACTAAAAAAACACACTTTTTTAACCTCCCTGTAGCAGCAAGCCTAGGAACTTATAAAATTTAATGTTAATTAAATACATTTAATTGAAAATCAATTCAGGCAAATGGAAACTCGCTTAGTCGGCAGGTTTGCTGTGGCGGGTATTATATAGGTACGTGTAGCTGTATGGATGTCAAACTGAGACATCTTTTCATGGCAAATCTTATGGAAAGAAAAAATTATATTAGGAGAACATCAACATCATAACCTCAACCTCTTTAATTTTCTTATTCCGATTTCTGTCTTTGATTCTGAGTAAATAGTAAATAACTAGATGAAACGATTCCATAAACATGAATCTTGATTATGTTTGAGATTTAAGACATTAGCTTAGTTGATGCTTTTATTATCAGACTTATAGAAGAATTAAACATAGCTTGGGGAACAATGGCCAATTTAGGTGCAAAAGGTTAGTAGGCCTAGACTATATTCTTTTTTATAAACGTTCAGTGAATAAAAGTAATAGGCACTAATTCTAAGTATACCATGGTACACTAGGGTGTTTTTTTATGTCATTCCAACAATTACTATACCAGAACAACAATATAGTAGAGGCCTAAGTAATAAGTTACTGAACTTATAGGCCTACTTAGGGTAGATTTCCGTATATATGCTATTGCACTTATCTACTGCATTGTAACCTTATCTACTAAAACTAGACTATTTTAAGTACTTTTTACCTTTGGCACTTGTGGGGGAAACGGCTTTTGGGTACAGTTTCTTAACTGGGCTATGCTAATATCGATTGAAACTATCGGATTGGAAATATTGATTAATAGCCTAACTTAGGCCTAACCGATATTTTTAAATATATCTTTTATAAAATTAAACTATCATAACCTAACCTAACCAACCAAACTTGCTGATGGTGAAAAAACCGCATGAAGGTTTACTAATCAAATCGATAGTTTCAATCGATATTAGCATAGCCCAGTTAAGAAACTGTACTCCGGCTTTTTCCTTCTGAAAATAAAAAAAATGCTAGAAATCGGCGATTTTAGGCTAGGCCTATCAGAAATCAGAAATCAGAAACTTTTTATTGCCGTAATTTGCAAGGTACATGCATATGACAAAGTCAACAACAAATGAGGTTCAAGTTTAACCAAGAAAATAAAACTAGATCCGGTAAAACATGAATAGACAAAACATTTGTCTGGGCAGTCATAATAGATCAAAAAATAAAAATGTAGCTATGCAAGCATCGAGCCTATCAGAAACAAGACAGTAAAAGGTCAACAATTGTTCATACAGATCATATGGTCATACTCAACATGCAAATAAATAAGAGAATTACAGGCATTGAGTAGGCCTAATTGTTGGCATGTCAAAATAACATGCTACTAAAATCCTCCTGAAAATAACTCTCTAGGCTATAAAAGGGCCTTTGAGCAAGCCACTCATGCAAAACATGCTTAAACCTACTCATGCTAACATTACGTGCTGTGCTAGGAAGTTTATTAACACGTTCGCTGCTACGGACGTTCCGGAACGTCAGCCGGGCCACGGCGCCAGGAGCTAAGAACGTTCCAGAACGTCACCGTTCATTGTTGTTTAACGTTGCTATGGATAAGCCAGCACGTCACAAGCGTTCTATATTTCTTTGCAGCTCGTGGGGACGTACTTTTCTGACAATAAAAAATATAGTTTCCCAAATCACCACCAGGGTTGTTTGGAACAGGGCTTTGTTTTACCTCTTTCCTGCTAGATAGCGACACTACTTTACCGACTGTAACCTGGGTAGTGCTGCTATCCATCAGAATCACTTAGTACTATATCAAATGCCAGTATTATTGCAGAACATTGCCATCCAGTATAACTACTGTTGTTTTTACTGTAATTCAGTGTATCGGTGGCAATGTCACGCAGCGGCCGAGCGTTAGTTCAGCAACTGGCGCCGTCCCGGCATCTAGCGCTCAGCAGCGAACGTGTTAAACATTGATATTCCTACATTACTAAACCACTTTTTTGATTTGGATAGTCTCACAAAAGGTAAAAGGTCCTAGGTGCTTGAAAAACTTTTTTTTACTTGTAGGCTACTTTTCTCATTATTTAGGCCATTTCAAATTCTTTTTTCCTCTTCCACTTTTTCAGCAAACACCTATTTAACTTATTTCACTCCAAAAAACGCAATTGAAAATCGTTAAAAATCTTTAGTAATTTTTAATGAAATGGCGACCACACAAAGTAGGTATTTTAACCCTAGCAGAGGCCAACGATCGTGGGACTATCGTTCGGCGTTGATGCTTAGAATGGCCACGATCGTAAGGCTTTCAAGGTTTAATCAACGTAAGGTTAATTACGTAAGGTTTAATCAACTCAGATGAGAACAATATAGGCCTATATACCATTCAAAAGATCACATTCTGAACTTTCATTTTATTTCATAAACAAACCCTATACCGGTAGCAGGTAATATAACAATGTCACAACGATTAGAAACAAATAAATTTTAGGCGTGGCACGACTTTTGCAGCCTACTTACACTTGGGAACTGGCAAAACACGACTTGTTTGGCATTTCCCTGCTCGGGTAATTTTGGTCTTGGGATGTTGCGGCTGGTATCACTGGATAGCCATTTATTTGATCTTCATTGTGGTAGTGACATTTAAAAAAGAATGAAATATTGATTGGACAACCGGTACGATTTTATGAAAACAGTGCATGCCTATAAATATCCACGATTTGTGACATCCTAGTAGCTGGATTACAGGACGCCACCCATCCCAGTCACTTAAGTTAATATTGGCACATTTGACCGGTAAATGTGTCAATAACTTAATAACCTACAGAATGGCTTAACTTAATAACTTAACTTAACCTAACCTTTACCCAAAATCGGTAATTTTCGGCACTTTGCTAGCCTAAGCATGGGTAAGGCTGGGTAAAATACAGGGTGTTCCATAAGAAATTTCAAAGTTGGCGGCTGAATTTTGAAAAACTAAAATCATATTTTCAACTGCCACAAAAAATAAAGGAATGTCCCCCCATTTAAAGTTTTCTCTAATTCTTACCGTTTCCGATATCCCAATGGTGGCCTCCTTGAGTTGATCACCCTGTATACATATATGTATATTTATATATGTCTGTAAGCGCGATAACTCAAGCAAAAATGATCCGATTTTGATGAAATTTGGTACAAACGTGTAAACCTACGTTTGTTCGAACGAGTTCGCGAACCAGCATAATGGGAACGGGGGTTTATTGGGAGTTTTATAGGGTAAAAATGGGTTTTTCCCATTTTTTACCCTAAAAACAAAATTTTTTTCTATTTCGACAATTTCTTTTTAAACTGTTTTGTAGAGGTTAAAAAAAGGAATAATTTAGTATATTGAAGCGCTCTTGTATGCCTAACGGTCATAGAGAAAATTTAAAAATAGTGTTAATTTAAAATTCCCTTGTTATTCTTATGGAGAAAATGAAAACTGTTGTAGTTTACTTGTTTATGGATATATATTGAAAAAATGTGGCAAATTTATTTATTTCATCCTATACTATTTGACGTATGGTCAACAAACATTTTTTACCTTCCCCGTAGCAGCAAAGCTAAGCACTCGTTAAATCTAATGTTACGGTATTTAAATTTGGAATGAATATGTCTTATTTATGGAAATATTTTAGTAAAAATGAATGAGACTTAAGTTGAAATTCGCTTAGTCTGCAAGTTTGCTGCGGCGGGGGTATTGTTGTATAGTTATGTGTTGGCATAATATTTATCTTTTGATCACAGGTTTACTCTGCATTAATAGATCAGCTTTCACAATAACTGTTAGATTTGCAAACAGAATAAATGTTCAGAAGCCAAGGCCACCTCATTACGAAAGACAGAAAATTGAGGCCCTTGTACGACCAAAGTACTTCCAGAAAGGTGAAAGAGAATCTTGGTTTTTGCCGATTGCAAATCAATGCCTCAAACAAGAAGAAGTTGCCCTCAGAAAGAAAACAGATGAGGTAAGTTAACATAAGTTATTTATTCATTTATATCCAAGACCACCCTCTTACTTAAATAGGCTACAATTTTGTTTTAACTAGCAAATAGACAATGCTTCATTATTCCAATATACTCTTAGATCAAGGATCTGGAGCAGACGTCAAACCAGTGCCTCAGTGTACATTTACTCTAACAAGGGAATATTAACACCGACACCCAACACTGTGGCAAAATCATGAACATTTCCCCTGAGCCGCAACTATGGGGACATCATTATCGTCACCAGCAATCGCTCAAACTGATGGTTTAAAAAAATTAAAAATATTTTTCCCGAAAAAATGTTCTTTTTAATGCCCTGCAGTTGCAATTTGCCGCGGTCTAATTTGCCTAGTGGTAAATCCCGCACTGCGGCAAACAAATTTCAGCTACAAAAATTTACTAAAAAAGAATGGTTTATTTTCGTAAAATAAATTGGTTTCTTGACGTAGTTAGAATCAACTACAGCTGTTTCATGCCGCTGGGGCACATCTTCAGGTTGTCAACCTCCATCATGAAAATCATGATTAGTGGTTGTTGTGCTATCATGAAAAATTAACTGATTACAACAACTGGAATTTTGACACATCAACTTATGACCTGGTTAGCAGCATTTAACTGTTGATTGTTTTTTTTCATAAAAATCACACTAGAAAATATAAATATAAGTTAATCCAGACATTTATTCTGTTTTCTGATTTTTTTTTAGGATAATCCTTATGAACGGTTGCTTGCCAAAGATTTGAGGAATTGGTTCTTCAACTCCAAGTTGATTGCATTTTTTCATGTGAATCCAATCAAATTTGACCCGAGATTCGAGGTGAGTTTAATATGCTTATATTGTACTACCCACCCTTAACTCATCCATACATTCATCTCCATTCATACTTGGCTTAAAATACCTACTTTGTATGGTCGCCATTTAATAAGAAAGTATAGAGTATTAAGTAACAACTGTAGTATCGTTTTAGCGAATTTCACTACAGGGAGGTAGCTATTACCATTGACTATATAACACTACTAGATTGAAAGCCCCATGCATTTGGTTGTGAACAAGCAATCAGCACACTCTGGCGGGAAGGGGCGATCATAGCGCTGACGTCACCGACCAGTAGGTGCTGCCACGATGTGGCGGGCAATGAAAACATAGTGCTGTCTGCTGTTACGATACGACGGTATGTACAGACAGCCGACAGCTGAGCCATGCTACCCGCGCCCACGTGACTTGCCGGAACTGCACATCCGCTCCCCGCTCGCCTCGAATTCGTGTAGAAGTGAAGCGCGACTGATCATTAATATAACTGCTTTGCTAAGAATCTGAGATATTAGACAGGGACTCGTATCCTAACATTTATCGTGATATTTTAGTGGTTAGTGAATTTGATTGATAAAAAAGATGTCCTGTAGATATTATGTATGAATTTCCTATCTAATCAAATTTAAAACGCCGATGAGAATAACTTAAATACAAATTTGCGTAATCAAACACGTCATGTTGTAAATGTTTTGTTGTAAGAATTTATAATCGAATATTTAATTGGAATTGAGAAAGTGTGATATTTTATCAATAAATAAATAAATTGATTTATCCACATATCACAATTAAATTTTAATCTATTAAGTATAGTAGAATATATCCACCTAACACTTTGAAACTAGTGAACGAGCTTGAAATAACGACCACACAAAACGCCCATAATAATGGTGTAACAATAGTCTTGTGAATATTTGTTTACGAAACCAGTAGGGAACTGTACAAAGTCTCTGTGTTTTGGACGATTTTGATATTGTGATATCAAATTTACACTGCTTAACGTATAATTGAAATAGCCTTCAAAATACACAGACTTTTATAATACAAGATGTTTATAAATGTTCACAAATCAATGGGAAAAAATAACCAAAATGGGTATTTGAATTTTTTACCAGCGGGAATATATTACAAACAATTAAAAATCCGAAACGACCTTCACCCCCAACATGGTGATTTATTATATCACAAGTGTGTTTCATACATAATTGAAGTTCATTACCTAAACAATATCCTTTGTTTGGTGATTTCAGAGATAGAATTGACATTTCGCATGTATAGTTCTCCACTGTGTACATACAGCAGAACAACGTTTACAATTCTTTATTTTTTAAACCATTGTTCGTATAACAATAAAATATAAAACACTTGCATCAGTCTTGCATGCTAATCTTTTACGCTTTGAAAAAGAAACCTCGCTCGCCCAAGATTGGGATTACAAATTTCCAAGGACTGGCGAGGGAAGCGTTCACAGAAGAGAAACTTTTATTACCCTGCTAAAAGCCCTAGCTGAATGATAAGTGGTCCTAGCTGAATGATAAGTGGTCCTAGCTGAATGAATATTGTAAATTACCAAATTAAATGTAAAACCTGAATATTGTAAAAAATAGAAAATAAAACATATTACCATTGACTATACAGGGTGTTTGTGAACTCAATCACATCACAAAAAGTAAAGAATCTGTCTAACAAGTAAATACCAAAAAGTAGTAGTAATTTTTATTTACATGTCACAATGCATAATTTATTCGGTTTCATTAAACAGCTTAGTCAGTGACAATGCCGTGCGTAATTATAAAGTAAAAGTATTATAAGTGTGCGGCAGTAATTTTAATAAATGACAATTTCAGTTCTTGTATTTAACTAAAATATTTAGGATCTAACAAAAAATTACATAATATCTTGTTATTTAAACAAATAAAATACTTAGTCCTTGGCCACTACCTTTACAACTGCTGGACTGACTGTGTTTTTACATACATCTATAATATTAAAACGAAACAGGGTTTTTTTATTTCACGATTCTGAATCAACCACTTGATGGATTTTCATGATTTTTGTGTTGAAAGAAAGATAATTTTGAGAACTAGGGAATGTCTAAGCCATAATTTTAGTTTGGGGTTTCAGTTTTTTAGAAATTAAGTTTTAATTTTTTTAAAGTCTAGCAGCCGACGCTAGCAATTTAAAGTATTTTCAATGCTGGTTTAACTAACAGCTGGTTTATAACTGTCATTGAAATGTTTATGTTACGATTTGTTTGTTTACAAAAATATTGTTCGTTGGTGGTTGCCTACATAGTATTTCACTTTAAAATGTAGGTAGTTTTCCCCTACCGTGAAGGATCTGCGTTATCAGGAAATGTGTTATTTTGAACCAAACATCTCAAACACTACTTGCGTTTAATCAAGTTTTGTCGCAAATTCAATCTGTATAAGTATGTAGTTTATGCATTGCAAATTTCAACTCATATTTGGGAAATATTTTTTCAACAGTTTATCGCTTAGTTGTTTAAGATATAAGTGGTTTACGTGTTGATACTTCTTTTTCTGTATGTTTGAATGTGAGTATGTCGGCATACTAAAATTTTGGTTAGTAATGAAAAAGCGTCAATCGGTGTAGTAGATCTCTGTAAAACTGTCAAATAAACTGCGGGGTGCAGCAGAAACCAAAGTCGACTCATACCATACCAACTATCCCCGTAGTAGGCCTACTGATGATTCAGAAACTTGGGCACTGACCAAAGAACCGAAAAACCTTAACGTTGGGTTAGATAATAAAGTGCAGAGAAAATATACAGACCATTTCAAGATAACGGCCCGGAGGTCGAAATAAAAAAGACCAGAGAGCTAAGAGAAATGTCTTAACACTAGGGGTGTGCGAATAGTGATTTTCAACCTCGAGCCGAGCCGAGCCGAGCTTTTTAAAAAAATTTTGAGCTCGATATTTATTCGAGCCGAGCTTTTCTAGCGTCACCTTATCTAAATTATTCAACTTTTTATTCTTAAAAAAGTGCATAATAATAATAATTTTTAGTCAATTTTTTAATAAACACAATGTTATTTTAATATGTTTAAAAACATTGAGAATTGTCAAGATATCAAATAGTAGATAATCACTATAAGAACTGAACTGAACTAAATTAAGATGCAAGAAATAAAAGGATATCGATTGAAGGCCTGACGATATATGCAGTGCAGACTGAGACAATCAGATTGTCTTTCATAACAGAACAGCAACGCGACCTTGAATGACGACAAAACAACTAGCAAGTCGATTGCATATGTATGTTGTAACTACTATGAATATTTAATTCTACATAAATAATAAATATAAATAAATACAAAATAAATTTTAAAACACGTGATTATTCTTGTTGTTTTCCATGCACAAAATATTTTTGTTTTATGAATCGTATTATTCAAAAAAGAACATTGTTGGTTTGGATCCAAAAAGGTGGAGAGATAAGTAAAAAGTAAACTTATATATTAAAAAATATATAATTAACATATGGAGGAAATAGACCAAAACACTAAAATTAATAGAATAACACACAAAGTAAACAAGAAATGAAATAAAGAACACGATGAATTAACACTGTCACTCAATTTTGTTATCTAGAAGGGTCGGCAACCAATCAATAAATAGCCAAAACCAGTTCCCTCCCCTTCTTCCAGTCTCACCACCACCCCTCCCCCCTAAACCGGGAGGCCCAACACTTTGTCCTTGAAACATCCACATCCTTTGTACCCCTATGAAACAATAAACCCTTACACCCGTGTTGCTGTTTTGACAAAAGGTTTATGAATGCGATCACTATTTTTCATTTTCCAGAATTAACTATCAATTATTATTATTTGCAAGTTACAAATAGGAAACTACATCACATTATGGTATTCAATGACCCATGTATTATTATCAAAAATTAATAATTCATTACTTATTTTGATAATAAAAAGCATTCATTACAGCTTGCACCACTTATTGATACATATAATCATCAAGGTGACTGTTACTTTTATACAAAATAAAATAGGTACAAAATTGTGTGGCCAGTCAAACTTTATAAACAAACATTTTATTCTATAAAATACAGATGGTAAATAGGGGTTGGTTTAAAGGAAATAAAATACAAAACAGATAATTAATTATTTTGATAAACATTAGAAAGGTTATGGGATTGATTGAACTAAAAATAACTGCAGGGAAACTTCTAAGTAGAAAAGTCGTCAACCACAATCTGTTTAATCTATACATCATTAGAGAGAGAGAGGGGGAGGAGAGAGAGAGATAGCAGATAGGGGCGTTTGATAAGGAATCTGAAAAAAGTAAACAAACAAGGAACAACGACACGACACTGTTTACAGCCTTATTGTGTCGCCCACTACATTTGCACACGTGACCACTTTTTGTTTCTTCCTTATCTTTCATCCGTCCCAAAATAGAATTCCTGAAATTGTTTGTTGGTATAATCTCCCCTCCCACACAAGGCGCAGTGCTCAGTGCGCACTGTAGGTTGTCACGGCAACCGTGTGTCGTCATAGCGACAAGCCAATCACGCACTCGCACTGCGTTGTATATTACGATACGAATAGCTGTGTTAGAAAGACAACGCGATAGGTGGTAGTTTGTCTCTTTCCTATCTCCTCAAAATTACAATCGATAATCATTGCGTCTTGACTGATCTGAGGTTCGTGCTTATCAAACCTCGAATGCATGAACAACGTAGAATTGTGATAACATTGTTTTCAATTATGACCCAAATTAAGTGTTTTTTTTTCGTTTTGACTTAGTATTAAAAGCTCGGCTCGAACTTCGAGCTTTTTCAAAATGCCTCGAGCCGAGCCGAATAATGAAAAGCTCGACCAAAAAGCTCGAAGATTCGAGTACTCGCACACCCCTACTTAACACCCAAATATAGGGATGCTTTCCAGAAGTAGGTAAAGCTTGGATGGACAGGCTGTGCATACACTTTTAAAAGGTATATTCCAAGGAGTACCACACGATAGACGGGAAATATCAAGTTATGAAATGCATCCTCAGACTGGGATCTAAATTTTGAAGAGGCAGGAGATAAGAAGATAATCCTCATAAAAGTTTCAGTGGTCACGGAGGTAAGATAAGGTACGGTAAGTACATAAGTAGTACAGTATGCAATTGGAGGTGGCATGTAGCTACTCAACTCAAAACCAGTTTGAATCGGTCGCCAGTTTCACTTCAAGATTTTTGAAATCGACACAAATGCTGTTTTATGGTAAAATTATCGGATTTAAAATGCATATCGCCATATTTTAGGTCTATATTCGAATGGAATAAATAGGTGGTCACGTTACATTTGTTTATAAGATGATCTTCTTCATTTAAAACTGCCAGAATTTGTGTCTATGCGTGTAAAGTAGACGTTATGAATTATTCCGTTTTAGTTGACAACTCGATTCCCGTACGTAGGACGGGCCACCAGCTCGTATCCTATTATAGACTAAATAATAAATATTGATAGAATGAAAACCGACAATTTTCGTGAGGCTCAGCTGTACTGAAATGATCTTTCCTTGTACATAATGTATATTATTTTAATTATGTATGTATATTATTTTATTATTAAGCACTATTTGCTTTAGAATTATAAGGACCATCACAGAAGAATTTCAATCAGAATTGATTTTTTTTTTCAAAAATCCATTTCTCGGGTTTGTCATAGTTTTATGGGAAAATAACATAAGTTTCAAGAACTTTTGAACCGTAGTTTTTACCGGAATATGGGGCTGCACTAGATGTTGTTAAGAATAAAAAGGATTATCACATACGAGTACTTAATTCAATCAAAACAGGGGGTTTCTTTAGAAATTAACATTTTTTCTTGTATTAAGGGATATTTTGTTGAAATACCATAATTTACAATGGAATTTTAACCGTAATTTTTACAGAAATTGGAGTTATACTATTTCGTTCTGAGTTACAACATACTACAGTACTATTTTTTCAAAATCGTTCGGTGATTTCAGACATCAATTCAGTGGATATATCCACTCAAAACTCATACTCGAAAATTTTGGGGTAAACCATACTTTATCCATGTACTAACTAATATGGGGAGAAATTAAAAAAAAGTTGTCAAAGATTTGCTATACCCTCCTGAATAAACTCGTACCGTACCAAGCATACGGACGGTACGTGCAAATGAGTAAACAAAACGCGGTATCGCGCGCGCAGCAGTAGCCTACTACATCAGGAGCAATGACCTACATCGCATTCACACAGCTGCGCCGCCGCCGCCGAGTACATCGCGAGCGCGGGCAATCGTTCACTCCGTATCGCCGAGTCTAGTCCAACAGTTTAGTCTAGTCTAGTCCGCCGCTAAGCTCAGTCCAGTCCAGTTGGCAGCAACTGCAGCGCGCCAGGCAACGGTTCCATGAACTTCGTGGTGACGGTGCTGCGATCTAAGTAGAGGGGTCAGTACTACGTGCATCCACCGTGCACAACACAGTACATTGTAGAAATTTCCTGTTCACGCGTCCTCCCGCATAGTCTTCAATCTAGTAGTGTTATACAGTCAATGCTATTACCTTAGGTGGTACGTTAAGACCTAGACCCAATACTGGATTTTCTTTTTCATTTTGATGGCCATGTTAATGAATGAATATATTTATACTGTATTCATTAACATATAAATATGTGTGTGTCAAGTAATTTTGATCTGATCTTGATGAATTTTTGTCCGAACAAGTAGGGCGAGATAAACTTTTTATGTTGTTTGGTTTTTAAAATTTCTAAAAAATTTGGTTTAATCTATTTTTACCCTCAAAACTTGGAAATGCTGAATCTTTACTATAACTATCATGTAGAGCAAAAAAAGTATTTTTCATCAAGAGGAGAAAGTGGGTTATTACATATTTGAGACCATATGTTTGAAGTGTGAGATTTATGGAGCGCTTTAAATATGGTCAAGAATATGTTAACCCACTTTCACTCGTATTTTGAACGTTACTTTTCACTACACTACAAAGACTAATTATTTTAACTAAAACAGGAATTGAACATTTCTTTATCACCAGGTTATTGTTATTAACATTACAAAACCCATAGCATTTTCTAGCCTTAAATTTGAAGTTAAAATTTACATTGATTGTACAATTTTAGTTGTTGCAAATGTATTTAATGTAAACAATGTATTTCACTTCAGAAATCTTTTTAGCAAATTGAATGTAATCATAAGTGGGATAGAAGTTAAGTCTGCCTCCATCTCTATTAGATGAGCTTTTATAAAACTGGAATTCTGAGGCGTTTGACTAAATCACAAATGATAATATCCAGGGGTTGTGTTTGACCACACACTGTCTACCTTGAAACAAGATGTTTAAAATTGTCTTTGATTACAGGTAGAAGTGAGGCTGAGGAAAGAAAACATGTACCTTAAACATTATGGGAAGCACACTGTAGCAATGGCTGTGGAGGGAACTCAATACTCGTCTGTTCTGCAATTGTTCAACTCACACACCGAAATTGTCTTTTGCCCCGAACCTAAAGTCAACAAACTGCTTAAAATTGCAGGCAAAATGCACAATCATGTTTTGTTAGGTAGGCTACTTTGAATATTTTATACATAATTGATAAATGGGCATTATTTTTTAGTTTATAATTTGTATATATGACTGTTAGAATATTAATTGATATAATATAAATGTTGTCATCAAATTCCCAGTCAGTTCACTTTAATATTCATTGCTATTATAGAAAGCAACAGGACTTCTAGCCTATTTGGCAAAAATTAAAAACATTACATCAACGTTAGGTCATTAAATGTATGAAAATAAAACTGATAACAATATGTAAACATTAAAATGCCAAAAATTTTGTTTCACAAGTTTTCTTATTTGGCATGTTTATTTTACAACACTCATTCTCAACATAAAATTGTACTTTGTGTGTATGCTTGTTTCAGCTGCTGTCGTTGAAGACAGATTCTTGAGTGTTAACCAACTGAAAGCTTTGAGTCAGTTAAAGGATATCACCACTGCGAGAGCACAGTTGGTATCAATGCTCAACACAGTTCAGTCCCAGCTGGTGGCTGGCCTGACGTACCATCAGACCAATCTGGTGGCAGGGTTGCAACAATACGCTGATTCTGAGAAGAAGGAAGATTCAGCCGCAGACAGCTCGACGCCAGAAAAAACCGATAAAAGTCCCGAGGCCCCAGAACAGTCAGACACTGACAAGATATAGTTGTTGCATATTTCAACATAGTATAAGTGGTTTTATTAAAAAGCCTTTTTACACCCAAACACATTGAATTGAAACACATACAAACACATTTCCACTTAAAGGTGAGGTATGTTTAATAAAACCACAGTTACTAAAAATTCTATCTATTTGCATTGTAAATACTATTTGTTAATAAAAAACAAACCAAAGCTAGTAGAATTATTGTGTTTTAATCCACTTTTTAAATTTGTATATCAAAACTTTAAAAAAATGTATTTGCTGTTACTCTATTTTGAGTCAGAATAGTAAGAGTCCCAATTATAAAACAGAAACCGGCAGAGCAAATCTTTAAGTTTGACTTCTTTTATAACCACTTATTTTTTATGTTTAAAGCTTATATCTTGTAACACAAACAATTAAAGTAACACACTACTTATTACTTATTGCAGATCTGGATAGGCTAGTCATCCTTTCACAAAGCGTTCAAGACGCTGATTTTCAGAGGGAGCTTGTTGCGGGGCATCTTCCCCGGACTGGTCCCTATCCCGTTGTAGCTCCCGTGGGTCAAGGTCCTGAAACAACGCAGAGACAGAGGCATCCTATTGTTTGGTTTGGTTGTGGTCAACCAGGGCACAGAGACGAGAGTGTCGTCAGAATGTAGTTCTTGGGACTTAGTCCAAAAACCTGAGTGGCTCACAAGGGAAAAGTTTGCCCAAACTGCCCTATGAGAAAATGGTTAAGCAGAAAGTCAGTAATAATTTTGATTCTGTGAGTACTGCCCCTTCTGGGAGTGCTGGTTTTGGGGAGCGTCTGTCGCGGGGAATGAGGGATCTTGCATGCATGGGAGTGAAAGCGGCGCGCTCAACTTGCCCACGACTCAACATCTTCTTAGGTAAAACGGTGCAGAAGGCCCTTGTGGATTCTGGGTCAGCCTGTTGTCCCATTTCCCTGTCCGTCTTTGAAAACCTAAAATCTTCTGGGCTAATCAAGCAAGTTGAGCGAAGTACCCACATCTGCTGGACTGCATCAAAATCCCCACTTGCAATCATCTATGAAGCCCGTTTGAAATTCAAGATTGAACATTTTTTTGGGTGTGGAGTTTTTGGGTAGCTAAGGACCTTTGCATTCCAGTCATTTTGGGAGAGGATTTCATCAAGAATTGTGGCCCGATTTTGGATTTAGGCAGAGGCCAGTGCTTCTTTCGTTTCGCAAGACGGGTGCTTATTCCTTTTGCGGAAGAAATTGTGGATGGTGCAGCTGTGGTTGAGCCTGAGACACCCAGCAAATCAAAAGTTGATCCATTAGGGCATCTGACTCCTGACGAGGCTGAGGCAATCAGAACCTTGTGTTCTCGTTTTCCTGAGGTGCTGACGCCAAAGCTTGGAGTCGCCAATATTTTGGAGTACGAAATCCATTTGACTGACACCCGTCCAGTACGTTCCCATCCTTACAAACTTGCTCCACCCAAGATGGAAACACTCCGTGGAATCATCAATGAGCTTCTTGAAAATGGGGTAATTGAGCCTTCTCGCTCAAGCTACGCTAGTCCAGCTTTCTAGTTCCGAACCCAAATGGCAAGTCCTGTTATCGCAAGTTGAATGCTCAAATTGAAATTGACTCTGTCCCTCTCCCCGATTTGCACTCGGCTTTCGATTGGTTCGGTAAGGCCAAGTATTTTTCCGTTCTTGATTTGAACGAGGCTTACCATCAGATTCCCTTGAAACCTGAATCTCGACCTCTCACTGCCTTCTGCGTTCCATGGAACTTGTACCAGTTCACACGTGTTCCCATGGGCCTAGCTGAGGGGGCCCAGACCCTCACCAGACTTCTTAATCCGTCTTTTATGACGTCAAATTCGAATTCGTGTTCAACTATCTTGACGATCTTTTGGTGAACAGTGAGAGTTTTGAAGACCATCTGGTTCATCTTGAGGAAGTCATGAATAGGTTGCTTGCTTAGGGCTGGCCTTACCGTAAATCCCAAGAAAGTTAGTTTTGCTCAGGCTGAGATTTCTTCCCTAGGTCATCTAGTATTTTTTCGAGGTGTCTGTATCGATCCGGCTAGAACCCAGGCTATCAGGGAGTTTCCCCCTCCCAGAGATGTCAAAGGCATTGGCATGGTGGGTTTCTACCGGCGCTTTATCCCCAATGTGGCTGAGTTGGCGGCTCCTCTCAATGAGCTTCGGAAGAAGGGCGCCAAGTTTGTTTGAGGTGATTGATCTTCTAAAAGAGGCTATCATGAAACCCCTGGTTTTGGAAATGCCAGATTAAGTTCGTTTTGCAAACCGTTGCTTCCTCCGTCGCTATTGCGGCTGTGTTGTCTCAAGAGGTAGTTTTCATTTTTAAAATTGTAAATAGTTGACACAGCCTAACCAGCTTATGCTGGTATCAAGCCAAGGAGGAGGTAATAAGGTAATAAGGTAGATGGTGTTAGGCAGCCAATTGCGTATGCCTCACGCACCTTGAACCCATGCGAAAAGAAAAGCTCTTCTGTGTATGAAGTAGAGTGTTTGGCTGTCGTGTTTGGAGTGAATAAGTTCAGACGTTTTTTGGAACACAAAGAGTTTTTGCTGGAAACCGACAACCAGGCACTCTTGTGGCTCCTTGCACATCCTCGCCAGCTTGGGAAAATAGGTCGTTGGGTGGTCCAAATATCTTCCCTCAAGTTCCAAGTGCAACATGTTTGAGGCACGCAGAATGTAATTGCTGACACTTTATCCAGGATGTATCACTCACCTGACGACCACCCTTCTGATCAGGAGCACACAGGGTGTGCCGTGCTCCTGGAGTTTCCCCTTGCCTTTTCTGAGTTCATCCCACATCAGCTTAAAGATCCCGAGCTGGCTAATATCATTGGTGAGCTTCAAAATGGGGGAGTCCACCCCCGTATTTTCTGTTCCAGGGTGCCCTTTGTTGTCGAGATCGACAGCGGGGTAAACCCAAGGTTGTGCTGCCAAGTCTTCTTGTATCCATGCCCATCTTGATCCATTCTTGCTTACTTCCACATTTTCCCTGTGGGTGGGCACTTAGGGATTCACAAGACCATTGCGAAGGTTAGGGAAATGTTCATCTGGAAGGGTATGGACAGGGACATTGCAGCACGAGTGCGTTCTTGTCAAACATGCTCGCTGAGCAAACCTGCTCAGAATACCAAGTATGGGTTGTTGTCATCTGAGGTGGCGGAGAGACCTTTGGAGAAGGTTTTCATCAACTATGTAGGGCCTCTCTCACGTAGCAAGTCAGGAAACAAATTCATGCTTGTTTGTGTGGATGCCTTCTCCAAGTTTTGTTGGCTTTTATTTTCCCCTTGAGGAATTCCACTGCACAACTCACCGTGCAGGCACTTTGTACCCATTTGTTCCAACACTTTGGGATACCCGCCACCATTGTTTCCGACAAGGGAACTCAGTTTGTTTCTCACCTTTTCAAAAGAATGTGCTTTGGGCATGGTATCCGCCATGTGACCACTTCTCCGTACTATCCACAGCCTTCCCACGCTGAGAGGTTGAACAAAAATCTTTGATCCGCTCTCATAGCTTTTCATGCTGACAAGCAGACCACCTGGGATCAGGAATTTCCTTGGATTCAATTTGCCTTCAACGCTGCACACCATGAGCAGCACCATGAGAGTGCACAAGGCTTTTGAGTTGTTATTGGGCTATCCACCCAATAATCCCTTGGCATATGTGTGGAAAATTGGCGACCTTCTGCCACCCCCTGGTGCTGCCAATGTCAAGGCAACTTGGCAGGCGGCGAGGAGGAACTTGATCAGAGCTAGGCAATTGGTCCGGAGGAAGCACAATCGAGGTCGGTTAGACAATCCCCTCCAGGTGGGGATTTGGTTTTCTGTAAGGCTCATCCGGTCAGTTCGGCCGTGGACAAGAGAGCCACTAAGTTGTCTCATCGGTGGTCAGGTCCCCACCGCATCTTGAAGTTCTTGACTCCTGTCTCCGTGCGGCTGGGAGATCCGCAGTCTGGAGAAGTTTTCCGGAGGGCTCACATTTCTCATCTGAAGCCTTTCCGTGGAACAATTCCATAGGTCACATTTCGTTACTCTTGTGTCTGGGTGGGAAGTGCACTGGGCCAGAGAGCTTGATCAACTCTTCTGTCCCTTTTGCGCTGCTGAAGATTTTTCCCTAGTAAATTTTCCAGCACTGGCCAGTGCAAACCCGGGGGTGAGTAGTCCCTCTAGTTGAATGGCTTTTGGCGTTCCCCACTTCGGACATTTGAGTTGATCTGTCGTATTGGTGATGAGATCTTCTAAGATTTGGGAGAGGTCTTTTTTTCTTCTTTTTTTGAGAGGATGTCCTCCTTTGGGGGGGGGGGGGTTGAGCCGTGACATGTCCACCAAGCGTCCTACCAATGTCACACCTCTGTTTTTTGTATAGTGCGACTGCTGGCTTTGCGCCGGAACTCATTCGGTTTGGGTCTGGCAGCAGACCTGCGACCAGGAGTGAACGTCCGCCGTCTGACACATGTTAGGCAGAAGGCGCGAGACTGTCAACCTTGCATGTCAAAGATTATGTTTGTGACTTCGTTAAAAATGATTCTTTCACCTTCGTTTCGACTTTCACAGTTTTTCGTCCTAACATAAATTTTCTGCAACATGTAAATTAAGCGGGTTGCCGACGTCAGTTAAGGTCCCGGATGGGAGGCTTTCAAGGACTTTTATAAAATTGAAGGGGCCCCATGAAGTATTTATAATTGTTATTTATTTAAAGCAATTATTATTTATTACTGTACATTGTTGATTTATTTAAAGTTTAAAACAACATTCTTCAGTTACCATCCTATTTAATTTATTGTTAGGCCTAATATTCAAAGTTACCTTTTTGTAAGTTCAGAGGGGTAGACATAAATTCTTAATTTATTTAAATTTTGAAATAATTTTTAATAATTTTTTGGGTGGCTGTTTAGTTGTTGATTGTTGTTTTGTTGAATTTTGAGATTATAGGCTTTGTTCACTATTTGGTTTGTTTTTTTTATAGTTCACCCACGGCCTTTCACATTTTAGTTAGGGATGTGGGGCGACCACTCGCACTGTCACTATGGGGGGCATGCTTCCAATAGTGGTTCGTCTGGTGGCGGTGCGAGGGGCCGGCTCAATATATATACAGTATATGTGAGTCCGTTAACACGATAACTCAAGCAAAAATGATCCGATTTTGATGAAATTTGGTATAAATGTGTAAACCTTCATTTTTTTCGAAAAAGTTCGCGAACCAGCATAATCGGACTCTGGGAACAGGGGTTGATGGGGGTTTTTATGAGGTTTTAATGGGGTTTATCCATTTTTAACCCTAAAATCAAAACATTTTGCAATTTCTTTCCAAACCAAACCATTTTGCAGAGCTTAAAAAAAAAACAAATAATTTAGTATACTGCTGGATGGTGTTGCTTCCTGACGATCCCTTGGGGCGTTAGACAAAAAGCTGTGGTTGCGCAGTTACCTGGTTCAGCGAGAAATTCGCAGAGCTCAGTGAATTCCAGCCACGTGCGTAACACTTCTGGGAACCTTGGGGTTTGGCCCTGGCTTATAGCGCTGAGTCTAGGTCACCGGAATATTCCATGGCGAGACAACTGCCCTGATGCAGAAGTTGGGAGGCTAAAAAGTTCAATATTACAGATCCTCCTATTATATTTGAAATAAAGTAAAGCTTTTTGTGACAGTGTTGGCAGGGTGTCATAAGGGTTAAACAATCTTCCCAGCTGATATGTAATGGGTCTGGGAATTTTTTTGGCCATCACACATGGATAAGTTTATAACAGCATTTATGAAATTAACGATAAGAGCTTTTTCTGTCCGCATAAGGTAATAGGTTGTGATACAGCTTCTTCTTTTTTGAGTGGGGTGAATAAAACCGCTGAATGGACAAAAAACGTTATATCACAAAAAACATAATATAGTATGATTATCATTTCAATAAATAAATACAAATACGGAACTTAAAAATATACAAACAATAAAGAGCAAAGAGGTAATCGAATGTAAATACTAATAATAGTGTAACTGGAATGGTAATAATTAGACCAGCTCAGCGATGTTCTAACAAATTCTATCAATAGATATTTGCTGCATTTCGACTATATAGACAAAAAATTTTGTCTATGACTATACGGATCCGTGGTGCGAGCGCTCTTGCACCCGATGCCGCCTCCCGTTTTTGCGGTGGGGCACACGGAAGATTTCTCAGGTGCCGTTTGACGTCACTAACTGCTGACGTCACTAACTGCTGCGTCTGAAGAAACAGACAATTTTATAATTTTTCTATTATTAAATTAAACTGTCATAACCTAACCAAACTAACCAAACGTGCTGATAATGGAAAAATCAAATAAAGGTTTACTAATCTAAAAAAATTTTTTGTTCATAAAATGAAATTATAAATGCCTAAAATTCAATTTTATAATTTTTTAATTATAAAATTAAACTGTCATAACCTAACCAAACCAACCAAACTTGCTGATATGAAAAAATTGTTGTCAAAAAGTCAATGCTACTAGCGGGATTCGAACCCGGTGTATTAGGATTATCAGCCCGACACGCTATCCACTACACCACCGAGGCCGATGGCTCATATCGTATCGTTGCGGTATTGGTGTTCCCTCAAAGTGACATCAGCTGTTAGTGACGTCAAACGGCACCTGAGAAATCTTCCGTGTGCCGTTTCGCCGTTTTTGGACTGATTCTGTCAACTGGCTGCAATTAAAATGTATAAAACCCATATACTTTTAAAGATTGATAAATGCGCCACATTTTTTAATTGAAACATTTTTTCCGCCTTGTCTTATATCACTACAAATCAGCTATAAACACACGAGGGTTGAAATTGAAAAGTGAAAAAGTTAAATTCAAACTTGAACTACAAGAAAATTACTAAATTTATCGATTACACAATAATTAAGTTTTTTGTAGAGACTATTTTAAAGGATTGAATAAATGAACCCTATTGGATGCTGTTTGTTTCCGAGATATTGATATAATAATAAAAGCTTACACAAATAAACTTAAAAGGGTGTAGGGGGTAATCAAGTGGGGGAGTGGCGGGGACTTTTTAGAAAATGTTCCTTAATTATGATCAACTAACATCCAAGAAAAATCAGCCTTTAAATGACTTCCAACAAAGCATACCATTTTCCCCCTTTATTGACTGGGATAATAATGCTACAAGCTATTCTATTTAGTAATAACATATTATGTTTTATCCACTCAATGGTTTTATCTATTGTAATAATCTAGTTTTATAATTCTGGGAGATGTACAATTAATTAGTTCTACAACTTCTTGTTTGTCATGTTAATGCAATATTTATTTTATGTGTTGTATTATTATATGCAACGACCGGTGGCGGTTGGGCACTGTTGGGGGAGGTTCCTCATCAAACACGTATGATGAGGCAGTATAATCTGTGAAGAGAACTTGTTAGGAAATTTGTACGTCGTCTGTTGATTTCAATCCTAATTCATAAAGTTAGTTAAACTTAACTTAATTCTTAATTTAACATCATTTTAGTGTTATTGTATAGAAGTGTTGTGTTGTCAGTTGTCATATTAAGTATAATAGTAGTATTTTTAACTCTAAAAACATCACAAAAGTACACCAAACGAACACCAAGAACCGATGTTATCTGTGCCTAAGTGAGATTGAGTTGGTCAAGTTGACTGCATAACCGGACAAGCTCTTGTTCCAAAATGATGGTAATTATTATTATACCTGTTTTACTTCAATAGGTGATAAACTTGAGCAATAAAATATTAATTAGGCATATTTCCTTAACGTGTGTTGGAAATAGTAAGGCAATTAGGCCTAATCACAAATTAATTACATTGGTTCTTCAGTATCAGATTCTTATCAAGCCTATAATTATGATATCAGTTCTCCTGTCAGGACCTGTCTATGTTAACATTCTATAATTGTTTCTCAACAGAAATAAACAGTAACTTAACTTCAGGGCTCAACTGCAAGGGTCTGACATTAATTGTTAAGTAAACAATGTAATGCCTAGCCTAACTTATATGATGCTCAAAATGTAAAACAGGTTGCATAGCAAAGACCGCAGGGTTTGGACCTAAACAAAACAAAAACAAAAAGAATGTCCCTTGGGTTGAAATGAACAAAAATATAGCCAAATTCCTATCAAACACAAACAAAGCTATAAATTGCATAGCAAAACTTAAGGCCAATTATTTGATAAGTTATATCTACATTGCGATATCGTGTAATTTTTAGATGTCTACAAAAATATTTTTAGATGTCTCTCAGACAAAAACTGATTGCATTTTTGGATTCAGCGTGAAAAATACTGTAAGTAGACTTCTAAAAACTACACGATAAGTATCGCATTGTAGATATATCAAATATTTGCCAACTTATGTTATCAATCCAGCAACGCTGGTCAAAGATGAAGACTTCAAGTATCAAGTAAGTTAATTGCGGATCACCTTGGGTAAATTTACACAGAAAACCTGGGGTACAGTTTCTTCAGGGGGCATCATACGCCCTATGGTAACAATGTAAAATTAGCAACCTTAATTAGGTAGCCTATGTAAAATTAGCACTTGCTTATGAACCACTTAGAGCTATCAACCTGAATTTTGTTTATTCACACCTGAATTGTTAGGTTAACTTATTCATGCTTTTATATATAAAACTGGTACCAAAATGATTTACTTTCAATAAATTTGTAATTTTGAAATAGGCCTACCCTAATGTTTTTTTTTTAATAGCCTAAAACTTAAATTTTAATTTTTGTGTGTATAAATAGCAGTAAAAGTTTTCTTAGGTAGAGTAAGATTAATACATTTGGTAACTTACCACTTCTGTGAAATACTTGTAGCTACAAATATATTCCGTGAAAATTTCATGGTTCTATCTCTTATAATACCTGAGATAAGGGGACATACGTATTATAAAAAGTCGGTTCTGGGGAAACGGACTTAAAAGTCGAGATATTACTAGTTTAAGTTAGGGGTACAGTTTCTTAAGTGGGCTACGCTAATATCAATTGAAACTATCAAATTGAAAATATGATTAATAATCAATATTTAAAAATATAAAATCTATTATAAAATTAAACTATCATTACCTAACCTAACCAACCAAACTTGCTGATGGTGAAAAAAATCCCATGAAGGTTTACTAATCGAATCGATAGTTTCAATCGATATTAGCGTAGCCCAGTTAAGAAACTGTACCCTAAGTTAGGCCTACTTATTACCGGTATTCAAATGTAAGGAAAAACGACCGAGGAAGGATTCATTTAAAAAATTGCTTCTAAGGTTAGGAATTTTTTAGAACTATTAATAAGTTGTCATTTTGTTCAGGAAGTATCAGGCTTCAATATAAAACCAAAATAGAAAAAAAAATTAAATATTTTTTTAACTATTGCTGACACTCAAGAATTACCTGTGCATAATTATAATAGTCCTACAAGGGGTAAAAATTATTTAGTTAAAGGACAACCAAGACTTTTTTTTAAAATAAACCTTCTTATATTGGAAACTATTTTTTTATAAAACTTCCTGGCTTTTCAAAAACACAAAAAGTCAAATCTAAATTTATGAAAAAACTAAAGGCATTCTTACTTTTGACCTTACACCTTATAGTACATATAGGGGCCTAGAAGATTTTAGTAATTTCAATTTAAAATAATGTACGGTACCTATAGTATTTTGTAATGTTTTAACTGTTTCTTATTGCTAATTTAGGTAGTAAGTAACAATAGACACTATTCGTGTATAAAAATTTGTACTGTGTGAATGAAGACTTTTTGAATCTTGAATATGCCAATCTCCTGCGTTCATGTAGACATCGTCTCCGCGGTCATTGAAACTCATCATCATTTTCCGATATTGTGCAACATCTTGTATTGTTGTACATCATCCGCGGCCTTGTAGACATCACCGGATGGTAATCTTTTAACAGATTACTTTTTTGTTTGACATGGAAAAGTCCCTAAATTAAAGCTCAACTAGATCTCAAATTATTGAAACCTTAGCTTCATCAAAATCTGTTTTGCCTTGATGTTTCCAAAACAAAACTAAATGCCTATATCCCTGCATCAACAGTTATTCAGTGACTGTGTTGTTTATTTTCCATCTGTTTATCAATTGTTTTTTATTTTTAGGATGGTTTGGAAGATGAAAACGAGATCATGAATGGCGACAACAGAAAGGTAAGTGTTAAAGATACTATACCATGTTTGCTCAGGGAATGTGGATGTGGATGTGGCTTGACCCTACATGCGAGGGAACCGACTCACGCACATACACTCTCAATGGTCCGTCCTAATCTGCAATTGCATCTGTGTAATTTGGCTTGCATATGTATGAGTAGGGCCGATCCTTCGGTCAACAGCACTCTGTGAGAAAACAGTGTATAGGCAGTGTTTGAGAACAGCTTATTCTTATTTTACTGCCTGATTGTGAATTGTAATAGTTAAAAATTAAACTCACGCCTCCTAAATATCTGTAAGTATTTTTTTTTCTTGTGTACAGCATTTTTACACGAGGAATCACCAGAGGAAGACGTATTCAAACACTTAAAGGGCTAGCGGTCCAAATCCATATGTGCCAGAAATCTAATCTATTCCACCAGCACCAAAGTCCGAGACACTAACACTAGGCTATTGGTGTTTTATTACCTATAGACTTATAATAATTTTAACAGTTATTCAAGAGGTTGTAAAAATGTTTAAAACTTGTCACTTTATAAATGCACAAGCTTATGCTATTTTAAATAGTGAAGTGATGAGATGGTGATGAATTAATAAATATGCAAGTTAGTTTTAAATGTATTGAATCATAATGCCTTGTTTTATGTTTTAGCCGGGTCGGTCAGAGACAGTCGACCTTACAGATAACTCTCTTCTTGTCGACATATCTGATGCTCTCAGCGAGAAGGATAAAGTCAAATTCACTGTTCATACAAAGGTCAGCACTCAGCACTAGACCTAATCCGTAATTATATACTGTTTAAAAAGCTTATGGTACATCAATCATATGTACATCAACCTGTTATCATTTTTTCATATAGGCTAGCCTAGTCCTTATTCCAATCTTTCTTCTACTGTAGAATCTTTTATAGCTAAATTTTATGATTTTTGTAAATTTGTATTTTTTGGAAAAGAAATAAAATTTAAAATTTAAAAAAATTTACATTCATCAAAAAAGTTTTTTTTCAAAACTTGCATTGCTTTAAGCCCCTGTCACACGTAGCTTGTTTCAGCAGCTTGTTCTCGCTGCGAGATCCAGCCGCTTTAGTTGCTAGTCCTCCAGTGCGCTAGAAGTCCTGTCAGACGGAGCTGGAGAACTAGCGCTACAACTTATACAAGTCTGGTGATGTAATTGGGACTGTGTGTGTAGTTAACAAAAATAATGTCGTCTTTTGGTATTAGAAGTGATGTTTTATCTATGATCAGCCATCATAGAAGTAAAAGAGTGCAAGGCAAAAAATGAAATGTTAATATATAAACACTATTATTTTTTATCTAGTATGGGCTTGTAAATTAACATTTTTGAAACGAATAAGTTGTGGTAGGCCTATATCAAAAGTTTTTTTATCTTTTAGCAACATTAAAAACACATAGGTGATATATGTAGCAATCGTAACTACCAGAAAATTATGGCAATTCATGAAAAAAAGTTCTAAACACGAAGTTTTAAACTCATTTATTGTAATGCGAGAACTAGCACGATAATGTCAGACAGAGCTGGAATGGCGCTAGAGACCACGGCTGGGTGGTCACGTGACCTGCTAGTGACTCTTCAAGCGCTTGTAATATTAAACTGTTTAAACCCTCCAGCGGCTAAAGATACCAGCTCATGCGAGTGTTTCTACCAGCTGGAGAATCAGTCACACGATGCTGGTTTAATGCTGGTTCTAGCTGCTAGTTACTAGCAGTGAAAAAACCAGCTCCTTGTGACAGGAGCTTTAGTAATTTGTACTTCTTTCTTATAAGTATGTTTAATACTATGAAAATTTAATACAACTTTGTTCAATAGCAAAGCAGTTATCTCTATACATTTTCGTAACCTATATGTTAACATCGATTAAAACTATTAAATGTTATAGATATTTTTATAAAAAAGAGGTTAGTAAGTAGGTACTAGTTTATATCTTTTAGTGCTAATATTGAAAAATACAGTGTTTAAAAATGTTTTTAGACAACTTTACCTGAGTTTCAAAAAACTGAGTTCAACGTAGTTAGACAGCATGAAGAATTTGTGTGGCTTCATGACCGCTTTGAGGAGAATGAAGACTACGCCGGATATATTGTAAGCTGTTATTGAAATTAGCATATTTTAGCCTGCAAAATGTACAGATTTGCTTCAAAACAAATATAGTAAAACAGTGATTCAGAAAAACAACATACAACATGAAAATATAGTAAGCTGAGTATTCCATCTTTTATTCATTTGATGGTGATTAAAATAGTTTGTGTACAAAACTAAAAAACAAGTTTTTGAAGTTTGTTCTGGGCAAATGCAACACTACTGAACTGACATTTTCCTCAAATGTAGGCTATGAACCAAGCCTACAATGCTTATTCATGTTTTTAAAAACCTCTTGGGTTATATTCCCCAAGCATGTTCAAAGTTAGAAGGTTAAGCTGTTAGAAGTAAATATAGATTCTTTTGTATCATAAAAGAAGAAAAAACACAGTATTTACGACAGATAAAGGTGTCGAATGTGATATTCTAAATCCATTCTTCATATTTTGATAATGTTACATTTATTCTACCTCACTGCTGATTGAATTAAAATTAAATTAAGTATTACTCATAAAACCGAGTGGTTTGGTTATTTGCTTTCTATAATCAATAACGGTATCCGTAACTAATTGTTATCCTCAGTAGATTCAAAAAATTGCTGGACGACAATCACAACTTCGTGACCGCGGGAGTCGAAGGTGCTGTTTAGACCTTCTGTAAAGATTGGTTTTTCTCGTTTTTGACCCTCAAAACATAAAATTTCCCAAATTTTCTCTAGACCATTTTGAAGAGCTTAAAAAATCAAATAATTTAGTATATTAAAGTGTTTTTGTATGGTCATTGGTTTCGGAGAAAATTGTAAATTAAAAATTCCCATGTTATTCTTATGGAGAATAAGTCAACCGTTGTAATTTGTTTATTTATGGATATATTTGGATCAAACTTGGCAAATCTATTTATTTTTTACTAACCTATTAATATTTTACTAAAAATCACACTTCATTACCCTCCCTGTAGGCAGCAAACCTGGGTACTCGTTAAACCTAATGTTATTTGAATAGATTTAATTTAAAATCAAATCAGGCGAATGGAATTTAGCTTAGTCTGCAGGTTTGCTGCGGCGGGATTATTTATATCTCTTACAACTTTAAAATAAAACAGCTGGCACACTTATATCAATCACCCTGGATTCCTTAAATCATATTCACAATAAAATAATAAGTACTTTGGCATTAAATCTAATCTACTAATAGTTATATTAACTAGCTTTAAAAAAAAACTCTTTCAGAGTACTTTGTAAAGATTTTTGACAAATATATTTGGTTGTCTACATTTAAGATTCCTCCTGCACCTCCGAGGCCAGATTTTGATGCCTCTCGAGAGAAACTTCAAAAACTAGGAGAAGGAGAAGGCACAATGACAAAAGAAGAATTCAATAAAATGAAACAAGAACTAGAAGCGTAAGTTTTCTTCATATTCCACAAAATAATAAATGTCCTACTGTCGACAGCAATTGTAAATTTGTAAGCATATACAAATTCCATGCACACAGTAGTCAGTTTTTTTCAATCATGAAAACATATGTGATGTTCACAGCATTACAAAATAATTCAGTAAAATTAAAGTAAGTAGGCCCTAGAGGATTTTAGCTGCCATTTTTTTGTAAGTTATAATGGCAATAGACCTTGAATCACCGAGAATCTAATATTAATGGGCTGTTTTGATCATCCACTATAATCTAGTTAAAACTCCGTTTTTATAAACAAATCTTAGAAAGTCTCAAATATGGTCTTTTTAGGGTTACAAATCTACCACTAGACATTTAATTTATTATTTGTACACATTACCAAAGCTAGTTTAAGGTTTGCATGTATTTATTTTAGACTTCATGATCAATGTTGCATTGCAGAGAGTACCTAGCCACTTTCAAAAAGACTGTTGCGATGCACGAAGTGTTCCTGTGTCGATTAGCTCATCATCCTGTATTTCGTCTGGACCACAACTTTAGGGTGTTTTTAGAATACGACCAAGATTTGTGTGTCAGATCGAAAAACAAAATGGAAGTTTTAGGGGTATGTAACTTTCATACTCAATAATGATAGACAACTATAGTAGTACAGAGTTACTACTGTACGCCAATATCTTGTTTCCTGCTCGAGGTATTGCAGAAGTCCATCTAGTTGCTATGACAACCTATACACCACAGTGCATTATTGCAACAATTTTTTGTATGTACTGTTAGTTTGTTACTCAACAAAAATTGGGTGTGTGGGGCTGTTGTAGCAATTGCAAATTGTAGATAAGACAATTTGCATTTTCTTAACTCAATAGTCATTTATCTGCCTATTATAGCTACGGTTTTTTTTTACTCATCATACAAAATCTATATAAAAGACAAACTTATCATATTCAGTACTTGTGATGAGAATTATTGCAGATAGACTGTTAGGAACAAAGACATTTAAAATTATACAAAAAAACAAAGACAGAACAGTACTTATACTTTGTGGGCAGCCCTAAATGCATCTCATATCTTTTTGTCAGTTTTAATACTTAACCAAAATATTTTCTTCTATAAAATTGTGCCTCATTTTATTTAAAACAACCCTAGAAAAAGGGGAAAGGATGCAATCATAGCTGAAGTATACTATTGTTATAGTTTTAGTTTATTACATTTGCAAAGTTTGTCCCTTATTACCCATTCAAAAAATTTCTATTTTGAAATCAGTACTGAATCAGGTATTAAGTAAAGTTAATATTAGTTACCATTCATTCTCTTAATTTCACACAAACAAAAACAGTATGCACATTTTTTTATAAACCCTGTGCACTGATATGACATGGTTAGAAAATTTGCAGAATGTATCCTGCTATACAGTTAATCTATGGAATAGCTTAATTTTAAATTTTTCATTTACTTTTCCAGGGTTTTGTTAGATCGTTTTCTAAGACGTCTGACGAACTACTTTTATCAGCAACAGTGAAAGATGTAAACGATTTCTTTGAACAAGAAAAAAATTTTCTCATAGAGTATTACACCCACTTAAAAGATGCTACAAGTAAAGCAGACAAGATGACAAAAAGGCATAAAGGTAAGTTGTTATTTGATTTGTTAACTTAAAAATTTTAAACACATCAACTGTTGGTCTATATGTTGAGGAGGAGATGATCTGGCATTATCATCTTATATACATGATTTTTGGCAGTGTGTTTAATTAAATAATGTTTGGGCTTTTCAGAATTTAAACGTTTTCATTTATAGGATTGTACTAAAAAAAAAATGTTAACATGTATGTAAAATCATATTACCCAGTTTAAAATTATTGAAATCTAGAATGCATACAAATAATTTCTTGGCTTGTTCCAGATGTTGCAGACTCGTTCATCAAGTTATCCTCCGGCCTGGTACAGTTGGCCACCACTGACCACCGAGACTTGGAGAAGTTCCTCACCAAAGTAGCCGAAACTTTTGAAAAATCAAGAGTAAGTAATGTACTAATATTTAAGGTACATACCTTTACGTCCACAGTTCTTAGATGTATGGTCAACTGTGGACGTAAAGGTATGTACCTTAAATATTCGTCTAATCAACAGTTCAAGGGCTACACAATGAATTTTAATTTAAGTAATGTAAATTACGATTACGTTTAGTCTTAGTTTCAATTTTGGCGAAGGTAATTTGTTTTTGAGGAAGATCTTTCAATATCATCCACCAAGCAAGTTTTCTATTACGTTTAGGTTCAGGAATCTGATATTCTGCACAGGTAAGATGTCACATAAAAATAATAAGAGTAGTACCGGTCGGTATGCTATTATTGCAAACCTCAATAAGAAATCAACCTTGATAACAAGTCTTATTTCATAATCCCAATTAGAGACTTGTTATCAAAGTTCTACTGTAACACATAAAAACTGAGAAAAAACGCTGCAGTAGTCAATAAAGTACAGTCACACAAAATTTGTGTAGGTAATGTGGTGTGTGCACAGTTATTGGACAAAGGTTAAAAATTGTAAATTGAGACAATGTAGTACATTTTCATTTGATTTATAATTTATAGATGATACATATGGTAACCTAAAACGTAACTTTGGTGGACAGTGTGAACAAAAAAACCACTTGCAATCATAGGTGGGCATAGAAATAAGGAACCCGTGACGATACGTCTCAGGGTTGAGTGGCACAGTGCAACCACCCCACAAAACATAATAACTCATCTGTTTATTAACTAGTATGAAATTATAATTACTTCATCTCTTCATATGTCTTCTTGACTTAATTTACGACTCCATAACATTCAAATAGATAAAATTGACTTCTTCAAAATATTTATGACTTATTTTTTTTTTCTTAAATTGCTTAGTTATGGTGCTGACCAACTCTCTAGGATAACCAAAGTTTCTCAGATACAGTAGATGCTCTTCAATCAGGTACGATTGAGACTTTAGTGGTGATGGTTTATTAAACGTCTTCTTAAGACACCCGTTATTGAGAGACTATAGTGTAAAAACTACAGATTTTAGAATGCCATAACAAAATCTTTTGGAGACAGTCCTCATTTCGTGTTTTATTGTTATTTCTCTTATCACTACTAAAATAAAAAATACATGAAAATATAGCATTCAAACCGTTTTAAAATCCTTTTTTCATCTGTTTATAAAGATTCTTTTCCACACACAGGAATAATTTTTCCTTTGTGGAAGATAATTTTGCTTAGTGTAATTTGAAAAGCTTTTTTAGAATTTTTTTTAGAACACGTTTATACTATCTACAAAACTAAACAGTATTGTAAACATTTTTGTACAGAGTTTTAATTATATAATTTGTAAAAAAAATGCTGCGGGATAAATAATATTTTGATTTGATAGCACCCACTATTCCATCAAATGCAACCGACGTCAGTGATTTCTCATGACGTCTGCAGATTGCTCCCGACTCTGCCAAATGCGGTTATGCTTAAAACAGCATTCAAAAAATTTGTTTAAACCTATAGACCAATGTCGAATTATTATAAGTGACGCACCATTGGATAACGGATTAGAGGGCTTTTACTGTATGTGTTACTCAAATGTTCTGATCATAATGTCTGCAAGTAGTGCTAGATCCAAATGACAAAGGCAATTTTCAGTGTAACTACAGTTCACCACCAGGGTCCTAATAACACAGGCATAAGCAGGGTTGCCACCCGTCCCGATTTTGGTTCCTTGTGCCCGTAATATAAGCCTATTTTAATTCGGGGGGCAATGTCCCGATTTTTCCCTAACATAAGGTGGCAATCCTGGGCATAAGGTTCGAAGATTCTAATTAAAAACATGCAAACTTACAAAATGGTTTTCCAAAAAGCTCAAGCTGTGCTACACAAAAATGTATAAAAAAAACGAAGTGAACAAAATGAAACAAAACCAACACATTTGGTGACACCGTTCTCAATCGTCAGCCAAAGAGACTGGTATCCAGTACTGTAGTATGATAGTAGGAGTGATGGTTGGAATCTTGTTAATTGTTCTATATGTGTCAGGTCCTCCTATTAGAACTCACGTTTTGTTGCCATTGCATTGCAGTAAAGAAAAGAATGTAGGTCTTTTGTGCTTATTGTTTGAAAAAATATTTTCAAATTCATGTTTTGGTTGTAGAAGATAGAGGGCAGAGTTGCATCAGATGAGGACCTGAAGTTGTCTGACACGCTGAGGTATTATATGCGAGACTCTTTTGCCGCCAAACGCCTGTTATACCGTCGTCTGCGCTGTCTTGCAAACTACGAGGCAGCCAATCGTAACCTAGAGAAGGCGAGGGCGAAGAACAAGGACATTCATGCTGTAAGTCTCGCCAAAGTGTACAGACCTAAAGTTGTTTAGGAAAATTGTATTTTGGATTTGTCCACGCAATGCCTGGGGTTGACAAAGTATGAGACAACCCCATACAATAATGGTTGACAAGTATGGCCTTGCTAAATATTTTGTTATAATAACCAATGTATTTTCCTATCATGATAATCACTTAGTCAGCTGTTTTGAAAACCACAAACATTTTTATGTTAAAATGTTACTTCTATATGGTTCTTTACTAATGTATCGTCAATTGTTATTTTATAAGTGCAAATAATTAGAAGTGAATGAATGAATGATACTTATTGGCACAAAACGTACAGAATATTACAGGATGTATGCACAGGTGCTTCGTCATAAATAAAATTGTCCTTATACAAGTCGTCTCTATCCTTCTAGGTTATATACATTTTTAAATCGTTAACAAAAAATATACTATTTTTATAAATAATAAGTAATAAAATTCAACAGTAATGATAACAGAGGAAAAACTAGGCTTACAACTATTTAACATGGTGTTAATTAAAATAAATAATTTAAAACATTTGAGTATCAAGGTTTTAAAGCAGATTTTTTTCAGTGAATGCTATGGTAAGTAGTTACCCAAGACTATCTCATCACATTTCAGAATCATTCAAAAAGTTATTAACTTTGTAATAGGTCTTTCTAATCAACAAGCTTTATTGCCTTCTCTGAAAATTGTGTTGGGTTAAGGGTGTAACTTTCATAGGGTTAGGCAATTTATTATGAAGTTTTATGCCCATATAGTAAATGCTTTTCTCTAAAGCTGTTGTGGAATGATGAGGGTACACAAGTAAGTTGTTGTTTCTTGTACTACAATTTGTACTATAACTGTGACTGGTTTTTCTTCACATTAAATTGTTCCTGACAAAGACAAAGTACCTCGTGGATGTAAATACTTGGTACTGTCATTAATCTGAGACTTTTAAAAATACCTTTATATAAGATTTTGAATTTTTTTAGTGTCATAATTCTTAGAATTTTTTTCTGTGCTTTTAAAACATTTCTTTCTAATTATGATGAGCCCCATTAAATTATTCCATATTTTACTAATGGATAGAAATAGCCATAGTATAAAGTTAATTTTGCCTCCATACTGGTACTTTGGGTGAGGAAACTCATGTTAAAGCATATTGAATTTAATATTTTACCTAACTGCATTATGTGTTCTTGCCATTTAAGGTTTTCATCACAGACGACACCTAATAATTTTACAGATCTCTGACGGTCTATATAATTGGTTCCTATTGCAAGCCTTAGTACACCCTCTCTATTTTGAGTATTTCTAAAACATATTATATTGGTTTTGGCAGAATTTAACGAAAGCCCATTTATTCTAAACCAATGCTCTAATTCTTTTATAGTAGTTTCTGATGTAGTTTTCAACTCCTCTAAGCACTTTCTATTTATTACAGCTGTAGTGTCATCTGCAAACATGACTATTTTTTTCTGAGTAAGGAGCCGCAAGTTTCATCTCAAAAGGACCACCCTAGCAAAAATGGCGACTGTTTGAAATTTAAAAACCCACTTATAGGGAACGTCCGGTGGAGGATGCAGTAAAAAGTTTTAATGGAAGCCTATGGTAAATGATACACCATTTTAAAGGCCATTTTTTCTGAGTAAGGAGCCGCAAGTTTCATCTCAAAAGGACCACCCTAGCAAAAATGGCGACTGTTTGAAATTTAAAAACCCACTTATAGGGAACGGCCTGTGGAGGATGCAGTAAAAAGCTTTAATGGAAGCCTATGGTAAATGATACATCATTTTAAAGGCCATTTTTTCTGAGTAAGGAGCCGCAAGTTTCATCTCAAAAGGACCACCCTAGCGAAAATGGCGACTGTTTGAAGTTTTTGAAAATAATTGAAAGCTTAATTGGTATTTCTGTTAAAAATAAGTTTAGTAAAACAACACAAACAATTTAGTTAAATGTTTTTTTTTTTCAGTCATTTTTCAGTTCACCGCGTGATAAACTACTGTACTTCGTAACTGGCTTGTAATAGCATTTAAAGGAAACAAATACGGACCATTTAAATAGCAATGTTTTTAAATTTCAAACAGTCGCCATTTTTGCTAGGGTGGTCCTTTTGAGATGAAACTTGTGGCTCCTTACTCAGAAAAAATGGCCTTTAAAATGATGTATCATTTACCATAGGCTTCCATTAAAACTTTTTACTGCATCCTCCACAGGACGTTCCCTATAAGTGGTAAAAAATTTCATAAGGCACCAAAAGATAGGTAAAACCATAGTATATCCGTACACAAAATATCAGTTGTTTTTCTTTAACCACTCACCAGATATAATGTTGGTTCTAGACATTTTCAACACCCTGTATATAAAATACCCCCGCCGCAGCAAACCTGACGCCTAAGCGAATTTCCATTTGGCTGAATTGATTTTCAATTGATCTATTTAAATAACATTAGGTTTAACGAGTACCTAGGTTTGCTGCTACAAGGAAACTAATAAAGTGTGTGTTTTAAGTAAAATAATTATTGCTTAGTATAAAATGAATATATTTGCCAAGTTTGATCAAAAGATATCCATAAACAAGCAAACTGCAACATTTTACAATATTCTCCATAAGAATAACATGGGAATTTTAAATTTACCATTTTTTTAGTTTTCTCCGTAACCAATAACCGTACAAAAACACTTTGATATACTGAATTGTTTTTTTTTTTAAGCTCTTTAAGAAGGTTTAGAGAAAAATTGGGAAATTTTGTGTTTTGAGGGTCAAAAGTGAGAAAAACCAATTTTTACCCCATAAAACCCCCCATAAAACCCTGTTCCCATGGTCCGATCATGCTGGATCGCGAACTCATTCAAGTTTATCCCGCCTTACACCTTCAAACCAAATTTCATCAAAATCGGATAAAAATTACTCAAGTTATCGTGTTCACGGACACATATATATATATATATATATATATATATACATACAGGGTGAGTTTTAAATGTCCCCCCCAACTTTTTTCTACATTTTTTCAAATATCAATCCCAGACCACTTCCAAACATTGTTGAGTAGTAAGTACTTCATTTTGACAAGGTGGTCATTTCCGGCCGCCATCTTGGATCCGCCATATTGGATGCAAAATATTTTTTTCAAATGCAAAGGTGGGGTTGTGACCCATTATTTCGAACAACATTTTTACCCTAAATACAATGCCACAAACCGTTTTTAAAAATCTTGATCAATTCCAAAGTTATGAGGGCTTTTTATAACTTTATTTTTAGCCCATTTTAACATTGTGCATTTACAAACTAAGACCATAATCTCAAAATGGTGATAGATAAAGATAAGTATACACTACCAGTGATTGTTGACCTATTTTCACTTGGTTATGATGGATTTATTTTTTTCGGCCGCCATCTTGGATCCGCCATTTTGAAGTGTGATAAATTATTTTAAATATGAAGGGGGAGTTGTGACCCATCATTTCGAATTAATTTTTTAAGCTAAACTCAATGCCGCAATCCATTTTTCGTTATCAAGTTTTATTTATGAAATATTGCAATTTTTCTGTTAAAAATGTCAATATTTCAGAATCAAAATATGAAAATGAAAAACGGATCATGGAATTGCGTTCAGCTTTAAAAAGTAATTCGAAATGATGGGTCACAATACCCCCTTCATATTTAAAATAATTTCTCACATTTCAAAATGGCGGATCCAAGATGGCGGCCAAAAAAAATAAATCCGTCATAACCAAGTGAAAATAGGTCGAAAATGACTATTAGTGCATACTTATCTTTATCTAGCACTATTTTGAGATTATGGTCTTAGTTTGTAAATGCACAATGTTAAAATGGACTAAAAATAAAGTTATAAAAAGCCCTCATAACTTTGGAATGGATCAAGATTTTTAAAAACGGTTTGTGGCATTGTAATCAAGGTAAAAATTTAGCTCGAAATAATGGGTCACAACCCCACCTTTACATTTGAAAAAAATATTTTGCATCCAATATGGCGGATCCAAGATGGCGGCCGGAAATGACCACCTTGTCAAAATGAAGTACTTACTACCCAACAATGTTTGGAAGTGGTCTGGGATTGATATTTTAAAAAATGTAGAAAAAGTTGGGGGGGGGGATAATTAAAACTCACCCTGTATATAAAAATTTGAACGAGTGGTGTTTTTGGCCTCTGGGGACATCAAAATGAAAAAGTAAATCGGTCCCGGGCCTAAGTCTTACCATGAGACCTACGGTAATAGCTACTTCCCTATAGGGAAATTCGCTAAAACAAGGTTGGGCCTAAAATTGATCCTAGGGGGCTCCTGATTTCACAACATCATATTTAGCTTCACACCTCATGTCATCTACAACTAAAGAAGTTTTCTGTTTCCTCTCAGTAAGGTTGGATTCAAACCATCTCCAACTCAAACCTTTAATTCTGTACACTTCTAGTTTCTTTAAAAGTAGCTCATGGTCTACGCAATCAACTGCTTTTGACAGGTCACAGTAAACTGCGGCAGTAGTCTGTGACCTGTCCCATGCTCTGTAAGCGTTGTCAGTCAGAGAAATTAGTGCTGAGTTTGTCGAATGGGATTTTCTAAAACCATGCTGACTTTTGAATGTTATTTCATTTTTTTTCTAGGTTCTTTGTAGCAGTTTATTTACCACTTTTTCAAATATCTTAGAAAAGACTGGTAAGAGCGAGACAGGACAATAATTTTCTATCAAATGTGGGTCACCTTTTCAAAAATTGGTCTTACTATAAAAATCTTATGCTTTGTTGGAAATTCCCCCGTGGATAAAGATTGAATAACTATTTTACAGATTGGCGTAGCAATATAATCTTTACATTATTTTACTAAGCTTACAGGTATTTCGTCCCATCCGGTAGACTTTTTATTTGGCAAATTCTGTATGATTTTTTTAATTTCCTGAATTTTTACTTCTCTGAAATTTAAAATTTAACCCATTTGGTACTAATAAGTATATCTTTATTGTGACGAAAGTACATTCTTTAACAACTAGCAAAGCTAGAACAGAATTGTCAATGCAGTAAAGTTATCATAATTAAGTAGTACACCTAGCAATAAGTATCTAGAGAAAGAATTAATAAAACCTTCACAATAATCATTTTAAGAACATGAATTATCCCTTTACAAGTTGGTTTTCCAAAACTTATTACTTAAAAATCTAAAAATGTGACAACTGAATGATACAATTTTTAAATCAAAAAATCTTTTAACTTTTTTCTAAAGCTGTTTTCCTTTATTATTTCCTTCAACTCGCTGGGTAGTGTATTGTACTTATACTTTTTTACAAAATTTCACTGCTATTCCTGGCAAACTTTGGATATCTAGTTTTTGTTTTATGTTAATATATGGCTGATTAAAATAGTTTGGAATAACTTTGTAAATTATTAAAACTTATTTATTATGGGTTTATATATATATATATATATATATTTATATATTTATATATTTATATATATATATGCATATTCTCTTCTGGGGTTACTTGGTCACTGATAATAGTGCCACCAACTAATACTTCAGTTATATTGTTATTTTTTATTTTATTCATTCCCAGCTCTCTCTTAATTACATTCCATGATGATTTGCTTTTGCGTTCTGCTTGTTTTATATACTGATCATTTGCGTTTCGTTTTGCTGCCCTGGCAACTCTCATAAATACATAAGTACATCTGTCTGTATTTTTTTAGTAGGTTTGTATCCCAACACTGTTACTATCCTTTGCCAGCTTTGAGAGTCTCTTATTTTGATGTAATTTCCATCATCAAAGAAATCTCTTAAAAAGTGGTCATAGTTTTCATCTACGCTTTATGCTGGCTGTATCTCCCAATTCAAGTTTATACTTTTGTTCTTAAATTTTTTTGCAGTAAAGCATCTCTTATAGGTTTGAGTCTTTGTTCTCCTATCATCTTTAAAACTGGGCAAAGTTGTCCATATTGAATTGTGATCAGAAAGACTTATATTTTTAACAAAAACTAGTTCTAAATTATATTTCTCATTTGTGATAATATTATCAAAACAAGTTCCACTGATAGGCCTCGTTACCTCTTTAACATTAGCTTTAAATCCATTAAAATTGAGAATATTCAAAAATCCATCTGATGCTACCTTATCAAAGACTATTACAGTCAGTAGCAATTAGAACATTGAACATTTTCTTAGCTTTTAACTTGTTTAACAAATATTGAATGTTTTTTTAACTAACTAATGTAAACGTACAGGGTACTCTATATAAAAAAAAAACAATTAATGTTGGCTCTACAAATTTTTAAATTTCAATAATCGAACATTCAAAATAAAAATCTTCATTAAATGTTTTAAGGTCATTTCTAATTTTGTACTTAATACCTGCATTTTCTCTCATCAAAATTTGGTGATCCTCCCCTCTTGTCATTTTCCCTTGAGTATAAATCAGCTAAACTAAAACTCTCAATTTTATTTAACAGATTTATATTTTCTTTACTCAACCAATGTTCATTCAATGAAATTATAAGGGTTTTTGTATTTACATGATTCACAATTAAGCTTAATTCATCTAGTTTTTCCTTAACTCCTTGTGTACATTAAAGTGCATTAAATAATCCAAACAATAACTATTCTTACAATCTAATATACAGCTACCTAACCTACTTAGGCCGGTTTTGTCATTGCTCCATCGTTTCCCTGTGTGGTGCTGCTGTGGCTGGTCTCCTCGTCCGTGGTTGATTGTTTTTGCCCCTGGTCACGGATGGGTTGCCGTTTGGAATGGTTTCTGTTGGGCTGGTTACCGCTAGATCTTCCCCTGGTGCCATGCTGAAGTTGACATTCGAGAGTGCTGTGTGGTTGCCATTTGCTGCTTTGGGATTTTCAGTAGCTGCTTTGATGATAAAGTTTGCTAACTATGTCTTAACCAAGTCCATTCAGATGTTGTCCGTGTCGAGTGTGTAGTTCCCTCCTAGCTAAACCCGATTGTACAAAAGTAGCATTGTTATATCGATCACACATTTTCTTTAAAATTTCATTTGTCCTTTTGACTTTTCTGTTAACACAGGACCATTCGGCCAAATTGTGTCTTGTAGGAAGATCCACTACTATTTTTTTTTTCTCTTTGTATTTTTTAAGTATTTTTGATATATTGACAATGGCGATTTGAGCTTTGTTTCTGGCGATGTCATTGGACCCAGCCATAATAATTGAAATGTCCTCTTCTTCAAGTTTCTCCCTATTATTATCACTTAATATGTCACTAGCGCCTGCTCCAGGTCTTACAAAGCCTACAGTTTCAAACAGTTGCGTGTCCCTATTGATGTGGAAAGAAAGATCCCTGCCATGGCTGTCGTCAACTTCATAATCAATTCATCTTTTTAATATTTTGTAAACTATAGTGTAGATGCTGTTTATAATTATTGATGTGGATTCATAGATTGGTAGATCAAAATTCATGCAATGTATTATTAATTATTGCATAAAGCAGATGATGTTAATAATAACTAATAAGTTGTTTCTAATAGTTTGATATTTTCCTTTGTTATGCTGCAAAAGGCACAGGAGGTTGCTGATGTAAGTTATACTCTAAGTCCAGCAATATGTTCTTTGGCTCGGTATTGTAAAAAAAACATGTGTTGAGAAATTGTGATAGTTATAGTTCAAACCAAATATTTTCTGATGGTTTGATCCTTAAGTTATAAATAACACAAGGATCAATTGAGACCACAAGTAAACTAAACCTTTTATAGTTTTGTTTAAGGAAAGGCTCGAGGCCAGGATTTTAAGTTGTAGAAAAAGGAGGATAGCAGCTAGCTTACCTTGAAGTTGACAACAGCCATGACAGCTGCCATTTTGTAATTTATAAACTCTTTCTCTGCACTAGACAAAGTCCCTTAGGGGACGAAATATTGTGTGCACAATGTTTTTTCTACTTTTTCTATGGCCTACCCACACTTTCAAGGTAAGCTAGCTGCTATCCTCCTTTTTCTATAATTTATAAACCTTTTATAGGCTATTATATAGGCCTATTAAAATATTTTAAATAGTATTTTCACTCTAGATGTATGTGGATTGCATAATGAATTTAACCCGTAATTAGTTAACAAATAGGCCGATATATGACTTTTGGTTGATTGTTGAACTAGAGGGGAAAAAAATTAGCAACTTCTAAGTTAATGTTTTGTTTTTATATTTTGTTTTAACAGATAAACAACGAGAGCCTTGCATTATGTCTCTAGTATCTATTACAGAATTAATGTCATTAGTTGACTAATAATATATTTATCTGTGTTTTATAAAATAACTGTTTTGTTTTTGTCTAAAGGCTGAAAAAGCACAACAAGAAGCCTGTGAAAAGTTTGAGCAGATGTCTGACAAGGGGAAAGAAGGTGAGTTCAATGGAATGTACTCTACTGTTGACACTTTTAATGAGATCCAAAGTGCATCGTCTCTTTTAAGCTGTTTAATCTGTTCAAGAGTGAAATATTTGCCTACTGCAGTCACGTCTAGTCGGTGTTTAAAATGTTTTCAGAATGGCATGCATAATGACCCTACGCTACCCGTTTGCCCACACAACCCCCCCCCCCCCAGGCCATACCCTTAAAAACAACTGCAATGTGATAAAGACTCTTTTAACATATTTCTTAACATCAGAGCTGTTTTCAATAACTATATTTAAACATTTTGTCTACTTAGGTCTATTGTGCAACAAGTGAGAAAAGTGGCACTTTTTAATCAAGAGAAAGATGTTGACTCGCCAGGCTTGCTGAGATAAAAATACACATTGAAAACTAATTAATTACATATTGTATTTTTTTTATCTACAGTAGTTATGTGCAAAATATTCCTTTTTCAGTACTAACATAATGTAATCAAACATTAATTTAATATAATTTTGTTCAAAGAAGTAATTAATTGAACACTGTTAGATCTTTGATACACATTTTTCTAAATATTAGGCATACTTAATTAGTGAAAGAACAATTACATGCACAGCTTTGCTTTAACCATAAGTACAGGTACAGTAATTAATTGTTCCCCTACTGGTTGGCCTAAATTTTGTCTTTTTCAGTTGCCATTTGGACAGCTAAGTAGTTATCAAAGTAGTGGGCTAAGTAAAATGGTAAAAAATCAGCTTTTTCACGGACTAATTTATGGTAACAAACGCTACGTTGTATGACAATTACGGAAAAGTTAATAAACCAATTTTACTTAATTTTTTTTAAATACTATCTTTCTAGTTTCTCCTACTTTAAATCTTTGTGTTTTAAAAATCTTTTCCTTTTTCAGAATTAGTTGACTTCAAATCTAGAAGAGTTGCGGCATTTAGAAAAAACCTCGTTGATTTAGCAGAGCTGGAAATCAAACATGCAAAGGTAAACTAATAGATCAAAAAGTGTTGTATAAGGATAGGCTCTAGGCCAGCATTGTTGTTTTGTTGAACAAAGGGAAAGCAGCTAGCTTACCTTAGAAAAATTCTAAGTAGGCCATAGTAGGCTTCACACAGAAAACCCACAGTATTAAATTTCTTCCCTCGACAAATAAATTAAGACAAAATTGTAGCTGTCGTGGCAGTTGCAACCTTGATAGAAAATGTAGGTCCAATGCAATGTGACTTTTAAATGCTGCAGGTTAATTTAAAACATCTTATTAATTACTATTATTTTTAGATGGCCTGGACAAATATCTACTATACATTTTACATTGGTTATAGAGATACTTTCTAAGCATTTTTCCAAAGTTATCTGTTCTGAAAATGTAAATGTAAAATTTAGAGTTGTGCGGGCGACTCGATTTTTGACCTAAGCTTTGAAACTCGAAAGATTGAACGCCAAGACAGTAAATCGAGCTCAAGGCGAGCTTTTACGGTCGTGACATAATTAATTGCTGTTATAAATTTTTCAATTTGTATTTACCAACAATCATATTATGTTCTTTAATTAATTATTTTACCTATTGCTCAAAGGAAAACATTGTTCAAATACATACTCAGTTGACAACTGTTGTTGTGTCACACTAAGATGGAAATTATTATAGAGTAATTAATATAGAGTGGAGACGAGGATGGGATCGGTTAATGGATCTTTTGTCTGCCTTAGTTGATTGATATGTTTCTTTAGCACATAACCGTTATCAAGTTGGATTCTATAATGGAGAGCTCCGAGCTGGGTCACAACTCTGTCAAATTTCCATTCTTATCCCATGCGTACTAGTACCCTGTCACTGTCTTTGAAGGAACAATGAATGGATGGTTGTCTTTGCGAACATTCAACTTGATTATTGGTTTCAGAATGTCAAATTTCTTCCTTAACTTTCGATTTAAGTACAACTCTGTCAATATTTTCCACATTGCAGAGGTGTAGCTCGGTAACAGAATAAGATATCCCTTTAGTGTCGTACCAGAGAAGTATGTGAAGATTGGTCTTTGATATTTCTTTTTAAGGATGATTTGATTGTTTGCATGTATCGTTCCACCAAACCATTATTTGCAGGATTCCCTGGTGCTCAAAAGGTTTGGACTATACAAGTTTGGTTGCAAAATTTGTAAAATTCCTTGTAGTGAAAATATATGCATTGTCAGAAACCATTGTCGGTGGATATCGATGCATGAAAAAATGTCTTGGAGTAGTTCAATTCCAGGCCAGTAGCAGTATCTACATGCAAGCCTCTTCGTTCTTACTATTCCAACATGAGTGGAATGTAGCTCTTTAAGAACTTTCAATCTGATTGATTGTGGAATAAAGACCCTGTCACCCCTGAAAATGGCTCCTTGATGAAGAGAATACAACAGATTATTCGTAAAGTACCATCATTAAGTTGTTGAAGAATATATGCATTGTGGCATCTTTGAGAGTTTCTTGAGCGATAGATGTGCTAGAGATATCAACTGAAGATAACTGAAAAATTGACATTTGTTCCACTTCCTTATATCAATAGTAATTCAATAAGTAATAAATCAAATCAATAGTAATATGTAAGGAGTTGTATAAATTCCATTGCATTGTTCTGGGACTGTTGATCTGGAAAAGTAGTCAACATTTACGTGATCCTTTTGATATTTGATGGTGTATTCGAAACCTTAAAGGAAAACAGCATAGCGAAGAAGTCAACCTGCTGACATGGGTGGGATGTTCTTTGGATCAAACATTTGAGTGAGTGGTTGATTATCTGTTATGAGATCAAATTTTCTCCCGTAAAGATATGAAAAAATTGGTTTACTACAAAAACTATTGCAAGTGCTTCCCTGTCTTAATTGACTATAGTGACTTTCAGCTTTTTTCAGTGATCGATATACAAACACAATTCGGCGTTCAGATCCATTGATGGTGGGCGAGAGGACCCCAGTGACACCAAATGGGGTAGCATCACAAGCTAGAGGGGGAACTTAAGGTATCAATACACGGTCATAGGCAATCTCTTTCTTGATTTTCTTGAAAGGGTCTTCACAGTCCTTTGTTCAACAATACTTTTTGTTTTTTATAAGAAGTTTACAGAGAGGGTAAGTGAGAGTAGAAGCTGGGGGAATGAACTGTGAATAAAATGTTACCAGTCCCAAAAACTTGCGTACGTCATCAACGGATTTTGGATGTGCAGTATTGAGGATAGAGGGTACCTTGGCTGGAGACTTAGACATGTTGTTATGCTCAACAGCAAAGCCTAGGTATGTAATGCTCTTTTGAAAGAACAGACATTTCTTACGATTGATGTGGAGATTGTTATCTTGAAGCTGGTGAAGACAAAAAAAGAGATTGTTGTAATATTTCTGTAGAGTGGAGCCGCAAATTATGACGAAAGTAAGTATTTACTCCCGGTATATTTATTGTACCTAACAACTGCTCAATGATTTGGTTGAACATGCTGGGGGCAGTCTTGATGCGAAAAGACAAGTGATTAACCTTGTACTTAAATTTTTGTGTTGAGATAGCTTGAATGTGTGCGCTTTCGTCATCACCAGGAACGTGAATAGGTCAGACACCTGCATTACAAGCAGAACCGACCACATTGGAAGTAGAAACTTGCTTTTTGAGAGACTGAACATAACTGAAAATTGACTCATTTAGTGATGTAAAATTCCCGGGAATTTAATATCGAGGAAATATTCCCAGGTAATATTGCCGGCAATATTCCCAAAATTCATAAATTCCTGGGAATTTATTTTTAATTAGCAAGGTAGGTTTAAAAACTGTTACTTAATAGTTAAAAGCCATAATTATAAGGTTAAATCAACCACAAAAACTAAAATATATTATAATACAAAGTTTTAATTGAAATAAATAACTGGGAATTTATAATTTTATATGCTAAATTGCTCAAATCAGTCACTGTGGTAGTTTGTTTTAAATAAAACACAAACAATCTATGTTCCTAAAGTGTTGATTTAATACAACTAGTGTACCTGTTGCTCGAATTCGAGCTATTACAGGCGTTATTTTAAAACAAATAACAGTCATAATTTCTGATGACTTTAAAAGATTCGACTCAATAATTATGGAAATACTCAAGATGTACATAACAGATCGATATAATCAACATTTCTTTTAAATATCTTATCATTTTTCAAAAACTGATAGTTTTTAGCGTTTTCTACAAATAGCCTTACTCATAGCCGCATTAGGTTGTTCATAATAACGATTATAAATTCTAAAAAAAAACATTATTTCTATTTCTTCTCCTTGGTGGTGTTCTATGACTTTCCTATGTTTCCATAGTTTGCAAATCGGCTCTTTCAATGATTACTAAGAAATGCAGCACAGTGTTAATTCAGTTTTCTCTTTAGTATATCAAATTATCCAGGCTCTCTCGCTTTTTTCCATTGTAATATTTACGCCAACCCAAATTCAAATAGGCCTAGAAAATATTTCATCTAATCCAAGTCAGTAAATGTTTGTAGCAAACTGTTAATTTAACAAACTTATTGACTGTTTACAATTAACATATGTTATTCTTCTCACTTTTAATTTCTGACAACAGCCGGAGTTTCATAACAAAGTTTGTTTCCCATGTTAATCTTAAGGAGAAATACGAAACTTTAAGGACCCCAGGGCCTCACTACCTAATTATTTTCCTAAAAAGAAAGTTTCCTGCACAACTTCACGTTACGCTCTTTCCAATGACACCAAAAACATGTCAATCGGTACAGTAGTTTCGGAGGAGTAATTGTCACAAAAAACCTGATGCGTATTAAAAAAGTATAGTTATATAGATAATCTGAAACTAACATAACCTAGTAAATATCCAGGAAATAAAAATATTATTTGAAAAAATTGTTAATTTAATGTATTAAATCAAGACTACATATTAAAAACTAAAAGGTTAAATGGGAAATACTGAAATGACATATTTGTTTTCTGTGTTATTTTTTTTTAGTTTCCTAGTCACTGTCACTTTTTATGTCAAATATATTTCCTTTGTCCTTCTCGTCATCTACATCTCCAAATCCACAAAAATCGTCTTTATTGTTACTTGACAAGTCAATCTCATCCTCATCCCTTTTCGATCTCAAGGATGTCTTCATTTTCTTCCTGTCCTGCTTCCTCTGGGTTGTCTTCTGCTTGCTTACTCTAGAGGTTGAGCATTTATGAGTTTCCAGTTGTAAGAAAGAAATGTCAGTTTTGCTGCTCGCTCAGATAAAAGTCTGTTTCTTTTCTTGGAATGCAATAATTAAAATCCATTCAGTTTCATAAATTAAAAAAAATTACAGGAATGTACATGGAATAACAACTCTTAGATTTAAATGTAAGAATTTTTACCATAGGTAACATAGTTTTAAGGTTCTTTAACCGTCAATATGTGTTAAAACGTTCAGAATTTAAAAAAATATATAAATTCCCAATTTTTGGGAATATTCCCAGTTTTGGGCCAAAGAAATATTCCCGGCAATATTCCCATTTTATAAGTTCCCTCCCACTGGGAATATTCCCGGCCCACATCACTAGACTCATTAGTTGTTTTGTATTGAGAAAAGAATTTATGTTACTCAATTTAATTTTGTCATCGAGGTAGTAAGCTCGTCATACTGCAGCTCTGTTACTTTCTTCGCCAACGATAAGGCGGACTACAAGTCGTAGTCAGAAGAGCCTAGACTGTTAATAAAGATAAGGCCCAGAGATCTGTGTCTGTGAAAACGTTCTACAACTGTAAGTAGTTTCCAAATTGCTCTTTCTACTGAGAAAAGGTTTCCCTTTTACTATCAAACTCTTCATAATTGGAAATAAATGTCAAATTCTTTGATGATTGTGGCTGAAACATACCTTGAAAAGCTGTGGTAAGGGTTTGTAAGAATAGTTAAAATTGTTATTGGTCCATTTTGCCTATTCACCTCGTCGCCACTCTAAAATACGTGTTATAATTATGGATTATTATTCTACCTTAGGTCTCTTTGCTAAAAAATTTCAAAAACTAAGTAAATTAACTTCATTCCAGTCTAAAGCTGGGTTTTCCTAGGCGCGGAGTCGGCGAGCGGAGAGAGGAACGCGGAGAGCGGAATTGAAATTAACATGGCATTCCGCTCCGCTTCTAGGAAAACAGTAACATTAAATTGCCTAAGACAAGTGGAGTCCGATCTCCGCGTTTCTCTCTCCGCTCGCCGACTCCGCGCCTAGGAAAACCCGGCTTAAGAGAATCCTGAGAGCTCCAATTTTCAAATCACTTGTATTTTCAGGCGCAGGTTCAATTGTACAAGAATTGTTTAGCTTCGCTGCGGGAGGATGAGTGACCAGTGCTGCCCATTCCTGTTGTCACCAGCTCATTCCTTCACTAGCACCCGCCCCCCCCCCTCCTCACTTCTCCACCGTCTCCCCTTCAAGACATCAGCTGACTTGGACACATGTTTCAGGCTCTTGAATAACAAAGTGTTGAATTTTTTTTGTATGCTGTTTCTTTAACATTGTCATAAAGGTTTTGCATTATGAAGCATTCATACACTAGGCCTGTGTTTAAAACACACTTACATTGCTTCCATCAGTGATTTACTAAAAAAGAAGAAATAAGAAGAGAGAAGTGCGTTGTGAAAATATTCCTACTACAATCACATGTTACTGCAGAATTTACAAAATCAAAGTTAAGAAGGAATTCAGAAAAGTACAAGTCATTGTAAGACATGGAGAAAAGTACATGGTGCTCGTTCAATTGGTCTACAAAGTTCAGCTGGTTTTTGTATATTGAGTGAATATAAATTTCATATTTTATTTGGAACATTGCCGAATGTTGGGAGGATTTTTGAAGCTGCTAAATATTAATAATAGATATTGTATTCATTTTCATATTATTAATTTAGGTTTTTTGTGTTTTACCGTTTTCTTATCATAGTTAACTCTAATAATTATCTATCATTATGATAATATACTCATTATATTCTTTTAGCAACTTCAAAATACTTCATGTTAAATTGAGCTTTTAACGAAGTATTACAATAATAATTTAGAATGGCACAGCCGACTTGATTATAGAGTTGTAAAGCAGGAATCTTGTTGCCAAAAACTATTTCTAGGATATTAAATATAATGAAATGAACTTTTTTGTTGTTATTTTGGTTCATTATAATGTCTTATATGAAAAGAGAGTATATAATGTATGTTTGTGTTATGTTATATTTTATTTTATAAATTTATCTTACAAATAAAAGTATATTTTTATATGATTATGTATTTGTAGACGTACGACTAAAAGGCAGTTCATTTCGTATCACTATCAGATAATAACAAGCTATCATGTTTTTTTCTATAAATAATTCGTAACATATTTCACTGACATAGTATTGCTATCCGTTATTATTCAATAGATAGTTCATTTAAAAAAAGGTTCTACTTTGAAACTGGAAAGTTGAATATTTATTCCCTTAAATAAAAACAAATGTATTTTTTAAGAGTGATATGATGTTACTTTAACTCCTATATTCATTTGAAATTTTTGACTCAACTTCATCCTATTGGTCCATACCCAACAACAAACTTATCAATAGATATCATTTCCATTTCATCCGTTTCCATTGCATAGCATAGTCACAGTTTAAGAGTCGGCAGGACCGCCGGCTATCTTGGATTTTCTGCCCATAACGGCAATGTTAATGGTTGAAGCATATTATGGCATTGTTTATTTAGATAAAAAAAAGTTGCAAAATATCTCATTTTAAAGCTATTGAAACTGAGAATGTGATTTGCTATCTACTTTTATAATTTTAATTGTTATTAATTTGCCAATTTACATTAATATATTGACTTAAACTGTGAATTTTTTCATCCTCTAAAATATAAGTTTTTAAAATCTGAAAAGCAATTCACACAGAAAATATATCACATAACAAAAAAATCAACATTAAAAAAGAGCACTTACTATTTTCTGCTCAGTAATTAAGCTTACGGTGCATGGTTAATATGATTCAACGTGAACGCATGTTTTTCCTGATTGACACTCGGACAACCATTGTTTTGCATGGCATCTGACGGTCAACAACAAAGCAAAATTATTAACTCCTGCCGACTCTTAATGGATCATCTATTCCAAATGCTAAAGTGAACTTCATTCCAGCAACCTTCATATTATGTTCATGACCATCTATTCCAAATGCTACAGTGAACTGTAAAAATTTTACATTATTGTATATTATGTGATAACTGATGCCTCAGTAGCCTACTATGCTTTGTTCGCGGGTAAGCTTTCTATTTATTTCAGTTAAATATAGTGTTTGCAATCAGTTGTATTATGAGAATAATATGCATCTCATTGTATTATGCGCTTTCACTGATTTTTCACATCCTAGATCCTTTTACAAAAAATGTAAAATTTCCAAAGAATTTTAAACCATATTTTAGGAAAGAAAAGGAACAGTTGTAAAGTAATTTTTACTTTGCTCATTGCCAAACTGTTGGATATGTGCCTATTAAAGTCATGGCTGTAAATCAACTTCATTCACATTCATTTTTTTCAATTTCCCAAAATCCTACCCTTTTTTCAACTCATTTTTATTGTCCTTTCAAATATATTTTCATACCTATCGATTAGATAGTAAGAACCATTGCATTCCAATAAATCTTATGAATCTTTGATTCCTGTATTTTTATGTTGTTTGTTGTTACGAAATCAAATTATCAATAATATGGTCTGTGTTACTTTGTGTATTTATAGTGATTGTAATATGAATTGTACATTTTGTACACTATATTAAACAATTATATAAATTTATTGGTGATTTCTTTAATTTGCTGCTTCCCAAAACCACTATAAACCATTCAAACTTAAATATTTAGCTTTATAAAAAGCTACATAGTAAGTTTTAAAGACTGGGACGGGTGGCGGTAATCCAGCTACTAGGAGGTCAGGAATTGTGGATATTTATAGGCATGCACTGTGGATGCGATACTCCCTGGTGTGGATTAACGTCCGCACTAGTTGACGTTATACAACAACCAATTACGCTTGGTTGAAGTTATAAGAGATGTCAAACAATGTTAAATTGTAACTGCCTTGGATTTTTTTTTATTTTAGTCAAGTTGAAAAAATAATTTTAGCCTCAATTTTTCCTATAAATGGCCGCCAACTTTGATTTTTCGTAAGGAAGACCCTATATTTTATGTATTTATTTGAAAGTAAATATGCCATTTAAAAATTTTCAAATTTTTATTTATTCAAGACATTTTTTCTCTAAAGCTACTCATTTAGAGGTTACAGGGTGTTAAAACTAAGAAAAATTACTTGCAGTGTACATTCTGCGCCATGTAGCTCCTGTAAGTTTAGAGAGAAAACTGTAAGAGTAAATAAATAAGTCTTAAAACTGCATTTACATTCTAAAAACCCCATAAAATACATAGTTTTCTTATTTTAAAATGTTCTGCCATTATGGAAAATGGCGGCAATTTTTTAAATAATGGAATTAATATTTTGTTATGTTTTTGATGGTCTTTGTAGAATGTAGATGCAATTTTAAGAATTATTTACTGTGACAATTTTGTCAATTTTCTCTCAAAACTTACTCGTATAGGAGCTACATGGCGCAGAATGTACTTTTGCAAGTAATTTTTTCTTAGTTTTAACACGCTGTAACTCCTAAATGAGTAGCTTTAGAGACAAAATTCCAAGAATAAAAACGTTTTTAAATGGAATTTAATTTCTAAATAAAACATAGGGTTTTCCATAATTGAAAAATCAAAGTTAGCGGGCATATTGGAAAAATGGCGGCTGAAATTGAAATTATTGTTTTCAACTTGACCACATTAAAAAAAAATTAAATATCCAAGGCACAGTTACAATTCAAAATTTTTTGATATCTCTTATAACTTTCGAATAAAACAGCTGTCAGCCGTGCTGCAGCTACCATGGTTACCATAGGTTCTGGCGCACACCACTGGGAGAACCGTGTCCGTGTAGTTACATAGCGAGTACGCCGTAACTATATGGCGCTTCCATCGGTGTGCGCAAAAACCTATGGTAACCGCAGCACAGCTGATGGTATATATTTAATTCTTTTTGTCTATGGTTGTACACAATAAATTTTTTTAAGAATATAGAACAAATTAAGTTCCTCGATATACTTCATGAATTGCTGTAGCTGTGCAGTTGGATGCAACAATCGAGAGAAACATTTTGATTGTACAAACACCTGGCGCTAAACAATCGATAAGTGGAACATCTTGAGAGGGAGCATTTTGTTTGTTTACACATCTCGCAATCGCGAATCACTATCAGACCCAATAGGCAAATGGGGTTCGTCTTATATTAATGTTACTAGGAGAGAGAGGGGGTTTCCAGATCGTTACGATAAAGCATTAAACATATATTTTTCAAAAGTACCAAAATGTATTTTTTATTTTTGGACTGGAACTGATAGGTACTACTAATTCCTAAACGTCTTACCACCTACCACCTATACAAGCTCTGATCTTCCAGTCATAGAAAACATGAACTACAATAAAAAGACACTTACACACAACAGAGGTACTTTATTTAGTTTACAATTGCTAATTTAAAAAAATACGTGTTATTAGCGAATTTCCCTATAGGGAAGTAGCTATTACCGTAAATGGCACGGTAAGACCTAGACCCTGGACCGATTTACTTTTTCATTTTGATGTCCCCAGTGGCCAAAAACATAATTCGTTCAAACTTGTATATATGTATATATACGTCCGTGAACGCGATAACTTGAGTAATTTTTGTCCGATTTTGATGAAATTTGGTTTAAAGGTGTAAAGCGGGATAATCTTGAACGAGTTCGCGAACCAGCACGATCGGACCATGGGAACGGGGCTTTACGGGGGGTTTTATGGGGTAAAAATTGGTTTTTCTCACTTTTGACCCTCAAAACACAAAATTTCCCGATTTCTCTTTAGACCTTTTTAAAGAGCTTAAAAAACAAATAATTTAGTATATAAAAGTATTTTTGTTCCTGTTCGATTATTAGTACCTAACGAAGAAAATTAAAAAAATTGTAAATTTAAAATTCCCATGTTATTCTTATGGAGAATATTGTCAAATGTTGTAGTTTGCTTGTTTATGGATATATTTTGATCAAACTTGGCAAATTTATTTATTTTTTACTAAGCTATCAATATTTTACTCAAAAACACACTTAAATTAGTTTCCTTGTAGCAGCAAACCTAGGTACTCGTTAAACCTAATGTTATTAAAATATATTTAACTGAAAATCAATTCAGACAAATGGAAATTCGCTTAGTCGGCAGGTTTGCTGCGGCGGGGGTATTTTTAACGTTAATCTGTTTAGATATTGTGTTGAAATAAACTGTAAAGTATGTTCTAAAAATGTTTGTTTTTATTAATAGCATTACTCCAAATCCAAATTAAAACAGTTTGTTGACATCTGGGGAAAAACGTATGTATATGTAGATTCCATCAAGGCCCCACTAGAAAAACGTTTTTCTTGTTGGGCCTTGATTCCATACCATACAATCTTGTTTTCTGACAGTGTTATGTTAGATCGAGACAACGTTAATTCACTTTTTTAACACCGCGTTTCCCAAGAGAGTCTTGAAAAACAAAATAGCAAAAGATAGGAGGAAAATAGTTCTTGGACCTGATACAATTGAGTTAGGAAGAACTGTTCGCGAACTTTATATAAAAACTAAGGATCTTAACTCAACACATTATATGAGACAATACTACTTTCACATGAAACAAAAATATAGATGCCAAATTAGACAGATAAAATCAGCCCAGATACTAAAAGAAATCAACGGCTCCGATAACAAATCTAAAGCAATATGGCAAACAATAAATAAAAATAAAAAATGTAAGGACAATGAAATAAAACCGATTAAGATTATCAATGACATTGGTCAAGTGGTAAGCGATCCCACCGCTGTTGCTGAGATGTTTAATACATTTTTCTTGAACGTTGGAAACAAGTCCAAAGGAGTCCACAGCTTAAACACTATAAGCTCAGTAAGAGACTCGTTTTTCCTCTACAAAACTGATGAAATTGAGATCTTAAGAATAATTCATGAGATGAAAAATAAGAAGTCTTCCGGGGCGGACGAAATTTCTCCCAATATAATTAAAGAAATTGGACATATAATAGCAAAGCCCCTAGCCAACGTGGTCAACAGTTCTTTTGAAGCAGGAACCTTCCCTGACCTATTAAAGACCTCCGTTGTTAAACCACTGTATAAAAAAGGCATACCAACCACTTGTGATAACTACAGACCTATCACTCTAGTTTCGACCATTTCGAAAATATTTGAAAAAGTAGTAATAAAAAGATTAGTACAATTTTTAGAAAGAAATAATATTATGTTTAAGAACCAATTTGGATTCGTAAAAGGGAAATCAACCACCAATGCAATGTTTACACTTATAACAAAAGTACCGGTAGTACGGGCTCTTGACTCAGGAGAAAATGCTTTAGGGTTTTTCTTTGACCTGAGCAAGGCATTTGATACTGTAAATCACGATATGCTGATCAATAAACTAGAATCTATTGGTGTTAGGGGGCTGGCACAGGAGTGGTTCTCCTCATACCTTAGAAAGAGGGAGCAATTCGTTGAGGTCAGAGGTGTTGACAGTTCTGGGTGTGCTCGACCCTTTGTCTCCTCTCGGGACACCGTCACTTGTGGGGTTCCCCAGGGATCTGTCCTCGGACCTGTGCTGTTTCTGATCTATATCAATGAACTGCCTTCAAGTGTTGAGGCTGGAGAGATCTGTCTTTTTGCGGATGACACGTCTTTAGCTCTGTCTGGCTCAACTTCCGAGGAATTAGAATTAAAATCTTTTATTGAGGCAAATAACGTAAAGCAGTGGTTTGACTCCAATTTATTAAATCTCAACCCCAACAAAACTGAATTGCTCCGTTTTTCAATCCAAGGCAATCCACACACAACTATCCTTTTAGACAACGTGGAAATTGAGTCCACAGAAGGCGTCAAGTTCCTTGGTTTAATATTAGACAAACACCTTCGTTTTTATGACCATATCGACAGTGTGTGTACGAGGGTTGGTTCCGGCATCTTTCTTTTAAAACAATTGTCAATTTTTTCTGATCAGAACGTCCTTATGACCGCCTATTATGGGGTCATTTTCCCTCATTTAGTATACGCAGTGCCGGCATGGGGATATGAGAATGGAAGGACCAGATTTCTATTTCGACTTCAAAAGAGAGCAATTCGAACCATCTTTAAAATCAGCTCACGAACTTCATGCAAAGATTTTTTCCAGTCTTCAAATATTTTAACTTTTCCATGCATATACATCCTTGAAACACTCTCTTTTCTGAAAAAGAACATTTCCATTTTTTCAAGTTCCAGATCATGTCCATATTCTTTGCGAAACAGTCTTAATCTTCAGATACCAAAACATTCAACCACCTTTTTCAAAAAACATCTTTATTATAACGGTATACTGCTTTTCAATGCACTGCCAACACATCTAAAAATTGAGTCAAACCCTGTTGTTTTTAAAAAATCACTTCGAAAATTACTGGTGTCCAAGTGTTACTACCGTGTCCGTGATTTTATTGCTGATGGGTAGTCATGGGCATATGGTATGCTTGGTTCATGAATTGATTACATGTAAATATTGTTTGTTTTAGTAGTTATTTTATAGTTTATAAGACAATTTGTATTTTTTTATGTATATTGACTTAGCCAATGCATTCATGTAAATCTGGCCAAATAAATGATTTATGATTTATGATTTATTTATGATTTATGATTTAGATTTGGGAGGGGGGCATAGGCGTGAGTTATGCGTCACATGGGGATGGCGGGGCTTAAAAACGACGAAAAGCGTGTTAAGTAATATCATAGATAAAACATACTCCTCAACGAGGACACATATCCCTTGAGGAGTATGTTTTATCTATGATAATATGTGGATAGTCCATACTTAAGTTAATGTGATGTATTAAAATCATGGAATTGGTAATTATTTATGGAACGACGTTTAATCCATATCAATCGCAATCCTCATCAGGCAGAACGTTTTCCAAAATTATGATTAATTGCATGGATATAATTATTAGACTATTAATACAAAATATAGATTTGTTGTATATATTATTATAACTGAACAGTTTGAGTTGATTGTATTCTTTTATACATTAACGTAAACATGTTATGCCGTTGATTATTAATTCTTGGGTAGGTGTATAAACAGTTGTTATACTTTACATTTCAATTGAAAATAAAAAGCTTCATGGACATAAAACTGAGTGCTTTGGCATCATGATCATGAGAGAAAAACAACATAACCTAATAAAATAACGCAATTGAAAAAAAAAACTGTTAGGTTACTAGGTTAGGTTAGGAGAATGGAGACCTAGTTGTTGTTGTTGTAGCTAATCAAACATTCAAACAAGTAACCAACAAACACGCGACACGCGAGCAAGCAAGAAAAGTGATTGTGATAAAAAACCACCTAACCAACATGAACCATAGCTAGGTGGATGGTACATACATTATTAATGCGTTTTGTATTTTCTTTCTTTGGAATTCGCACCACTCATAACCCCTTTTTGGAATGAGGATTTGAACCCACTTTTAAGAATAAAATGGTGTTTTATTTTGTTAGCAGTGGTAAGTTGTTGGTCGGGGTTATTTCTCTCTTTAAATTAAAACTGCTCACTAGTTTATACAAGAAATGCTTTAAGTTAAAATAGTCTAGGTACGGTAGTACGTTCTAAGTCCCGGTATTTATTTATGCACAATAAGCTATGGTTGAGGCTGGACTGGACCCTGGACCCCAAGTCTGCCCCTTCCCTTCAATCTAAGTTAGGGCCTCAGCCCTCCTACTTTTCCTATTATTATTATTCAATCAACTCATAATATTTTTGTCAGAACTGTGACATTTGACTCCATTAGATAAATTCATTGGGTTATTTAGGCCTAGTTAAGTTAATAATTTAATTTCCTCATTAATTGATAGCAATAGCACCTTTATCTTACAAGTTATTAATTGGATTTTATTCTAACAGATGATTTAGTTAATCAAATGTTACGTGATTTATTTGTTTTTAGTGAATCAAAGTGGTTGTGTAGGCCTAACAACTAGTTTCAGCTCACAATAGAGCCTACTTCAGGTTTTGCCAAGGACATTGTCGCTTCTTCTGAAGGTCGACAAAGTTCTTAAATATATTTACAAAACATAAAACACAATTAAAACCTACAACATGCTTGACTAGGCCTAGCTTTAATGACGCGACTGGTAGGAGTTAACCAATATCTTTCCGAAAGAGAGGTACCGGAACTCCAATCCACCGCGTATCGATGTAGAGTACTAAGTTAGTCATAAATTGATTGAAATCATCGATATAACTTATGTGAATCGACGTCACTATGGAGTCAGATATCAATATTTAAATTTAGGCTATTGTTTTTTTCTCTCTAAATTTTTTAATTTTTCCAATTTTGGTTGCTAACATAGTAAGTTATGGAATCTTAATCAAACTTATATCTGGGGTCAGTGCTCGATTTGTCAAAAATAAAGCGGCGGCACTGTAACCTATTTAGTGTCATTAGTACCTCACAAATCGAACACTGTCCCAAAACTTGGTCTGACAACCCACCACCACCTTGGAATTTTTTTGCCACCCTTTTATAATATAGGCTAATGTTAACCAGGGCCGCAGCTAGGGGGTGGCAGGGGGGGTTGTTTTCCCCGGGTGGCAAGTTTTGGGAGGCGGCAAAATTTAGGATGTTATGTAATTTGTTTGATCTTATCTAACAGGGGCAGGTCGAGACGTAGAAGCACTTCATCCTAAATCAAATTAGGCCTATTGCGCAACCCAGACAATTGTTTTCTTGTTGCCCTTACAAGTCAAGGCGCCCAATGAATGTCTGTAGCTTCCCAATAAGTTCATCCTCGGGAAGATATCTTCCTAGCCAGATTACCAAGATTTATCATTCTAGCATCAGAGAGCTCGTTACAATCAAAGAGTAAGTGATTGGCTGTCTCTTCTGACCTATCACAGTGCCTATATATCGGTTCACCATCAAATAAGCCTATCCGTTGTAAATGTTTCCTGAATCGCCCATGACCAGTTATCAGTTGTACAGTTAATTTGATACTTCTTCTGTCTAGTCTCAAGAGGTCATAGGCAACCTTTTTGGAAGGCCTAAACAGAGTAAGCTTGATGACCCTAAGAAGGGGGGTGTCAACCCAGCGTTTGTGGTGCTTTTCTTTGGCCCATGACGCAATCGAAGAACATGCGCTGTTTCGTGAAATGCCACAGAAGGGTTGTGGGCCTATCATGGTTGTCGCAGAGGCAGTGTTTGCCAATCTGTCTGCAGCTTCATTACCTTTTGTGCCTGAGTGTCCTGGCACCGAGCAGAGCGTAAGATCATTTCTCCTACCCACCTAAGACACAGAAGCAAGGCAGACCCACACGAGCCTAGAGTTGACTTCTTAAGAGTTTAGTGCTTTTAAGGTTGCTTGACTATCGGTGTAGATATTGATTGTTTTGTCTCTGATCTCTTTATTAAGATGTTCTCAAGCACAAACCAAGATGGCAGTGACCTCCGCTTGAAAAACAGTTGGGTACACCTGTACACCCCCATAGGAAGACAAATGCCAGTGCCTTTATTTATCCAATGCACACCTGCTCCAGTGCCCCCATTTTACTTTCTCCCCCTATACCATAGTATATGGAGAAAGTACCTATTGTTTTCGTCAAAATTTTCGAGTTTGAGTTTTGATTGGATATATTCGTTTTGGGTCCCCCCTGGACCCAAAAAAGTGGTTTCGAAGTGATGTCTGTGTGTCTGGATATGTACAGAGCTAGGGACTACACCTGTGGTCCGATTTCGATGAAATTTGGTATGTAGGTTCTAATCCATGGTATCTCCAGGCATTTTTTTTTCATTTTTTTGAAATTTTGATTTTTAATGGGGATTTTCCCATAAAAAACCGGAATAATTGGATTTTTTCAAAAATGGCCCAAACGATTTTGATAAAAATTTAGTATGTTGTAGCCCTTTAAATTCTGAAAAAAATTGTACAAATCCCATTTCTGTAAAAATTACGGTTCAAAAGTTATTGTAAATTGTGTTATTTTCCCATAAAACCTCATAAAACAACAAAAAATAGGATTTTATAAAAAAAGTCCTGTTTTGATTTAACATAGTATGTTATGGTCCTTAAAATTTTGATAGTTTTTTCATTTTTTTATCTTGATTTTTAATGGGGATTTTTTATGGGGATAAAATAACGGTAAAATAGGATTTTCCCAAAAATGGCCTGAACGATTTTGATAAAAAAATTAGTATGTTATAGCCCTTTATATTCTGAACAAAATGGTACAAATCCCATTCCTGTAAAAATTACGGTTCAATAGTTATTGTAAATTATGTTATTTTCCCCATAAAAACCCCATAAAATAACGGAAAATCGGATTTTCCCAAAAGTGACCCGAACAACTTTGATACAAATTTAGTATGTTACTAGCTGTGTACCCGTTCTACGCACGGGGATCTTATAATATTCAGTTGAAACCTTCTTATATAACGAACAGCAGTTGGTTTGCATATTTTAAGATATGCTGGCCAAACTATTATACATAGCTTCATTTTATGTTGTTTTTTGTTGTTCCGGATCGGTATGACAATCAATAAAAGGTTAAATTACCTCTGTGTCTGCCGGTCGATCCTATAACGGTAGGCTTACTTTTATTTTTACTATCTGATCTCGTTTGCATGGCTCAATCACGTCCTGGTTGAAGTTCGTTCGCTACGCTCACTCACCTGTATGTTGGAGCTCGTTCGCTGCGCTCACTTTCCTTCAGGTTAGCTCGTTCGCTACGCTCACTTGCCTTCAGGTTAGCTCGTTCGCTACGCTCACTCGCCTCCAGGTTGCAAATTAGCTGTTGTCATAAATGTAAAAGAAATAATAGTGCTAGTGCTGCACCCTGTTGGTAATCCTTGTAACTTTAATGCTATTGAACATCACAGAACAGAACCAACTTGTTTAATTGAAACAGCTGTTAAGATTCAATAATTTCATTTCTCATAAGGTTAACATGGGCTTCCAGAAATTCCACGTCAAAAATCGACAAAAACTTGATTTTCAAGGGTTTACTGTTAAATATCTAACTGTCTCATATTCGATGAAATACGTCTAAAACCATCTCATATATGTATAGTATTTGGAAAATAAGTTTCAGGCGGGACAGTGCTATAGTTATTGAGGAGTAGTTGTAATAAAGTGCGTATTTTAGCGTTACCAAGAGAATGACAGATAGACAGACAGACAGACAGACAGACAGACAGACAGAAATTGAGATAAGGTTTGATTCGGTTTCTCTGACCTATGAAATGTAAAAATAACCAAAAAGTTCATTATTCTAAGCAATGTACAGACAAAACTCTAATTTTATTTATATAGATAGTCCTTAAATTCTGAGCAAAATTGTACAAATCCTATTTCCGTATATTTACTCTCACCGCTTACACATGATAAAGGTTGTTGACAAACTTATGGGAGAAAGTATGTGTCAAGCCCCGTTTCCATCAAACATTTTGTACCAACAATGTTGGGAGCCAAGTTCAAGTTGATTTGAGCACAGCTCCCAACGATGTTGGCGCGCTGTTTCCATTCCAGCAGTGCGCGCCAACATTTCGCGCCAACATTTCCTGCCAACCTACTGCGAGCACATTTCACTACCATCCACACCCACACACCTATCTACACCAGTGCACCTTCATCATGGAGAGCGAAGAGACTGCTGCTGCTGCTTTCGTCGTAATGGCTGGTGCATATCACCAATTAATTAGTTTAAAACGCAGAAAGCGACCGCGATGGTGGGTTAGGAGTTTTTTTTTTGCTAAAAGGGCCGCTGAAGGTGCCTACAACTCCCTTATGAGGGATTTAAGACTTCGAGCAGGATCCCAAAATTTTGTACGAATGACGGCAACTGACTTTGAAGAATTACTAAACTTGGTGGCTCCTCTAATCGCTAAACATGGTGAGCGCAGTCCCATATCAGCTGGCGAAATGTTAGCAGCTACATTTAGATACTTGGATGGCATCACTCCTTTTATTAGTTTTTGTGCTTGCTGTTAGACACATCCCACACACTGTCTCACTTTCATACAAAGATATCAACTTTAACACTTTGTCTTTTCCCCAATCTTGACTTGACATCGCCATGGCCTCACTATACCGTCCAAAAGCCCAACAGAACAAGATACACCGACACGACACAAGAATGTTTACACCATAAACAAAAACACGTGTTGTTGTTGGTGTTTAACCCGTCTGCTAGGCTAGAGGTGCGATGTGCGATAGTGCTGCGGTGGATGTGCTGGAACTACTCACAGAGCAAGTGCGCATGCGCGAGTTCTGCTCACAGCAATGTTGGCAGCTGGACACCGTTTCCATTACCTTTTGAGCACAGCTCACAACAATGTTGTCAGCTGCAACGGCTGCCAACACTTTTTGTTGGCCAACACTGCTCAAAACATTATGCTAGTGTTTCCATTCAACATTTTACTCCAACTTTGTTGTGAGTTTAGCTGACAACAATGTTTTGAGCAGAAAATGTTTGATGGAAACGGGGCTGAATCAGAATGCTGATACCGTT